TGGGGAAAAGAAGAGTGAGGGGGGATTCAGTAAATGTTTATAAATATCTAAAGGGAGGTGGGAGGTGAATGGATGAGGCCAGGCTCTTCTTGGTGGTGTGTAGCGATAGGACAAGGAGTTATGGAAGTTAAGGAAGTTCCATACAAACATGCAGAAGAACTTTACAGTAAGGGTGATGGAGCACTGGAACAGGATTCCCATGCGGGTTGTGGAGTCTCCTTCTCTGGACATGTTCAAGACACATCTGGACATCTACTATGTGATCTGTTGTGGGGAATCTGCCTTAGAAGGGGGGTGGGACTCAATTCTTGAGGTCCCTTCCAACCCCTATGATTCTGTGATATATCTGAGTCTATATTAAATAAATGAGAATTGTAGTCAAGAGTTAAGCAGGTTCCATTGTGTATTCAGACTTCCGAAGTATGATTATGTGTATAAAGCCTTCATTCTTGTTTGAGAATGAAATTATTCATATTTTTGATCAGTTTTAGCTGGATTTTTTAGTTTTGTGAACTTCATCATCTTTGGCACCTAAGTGCTCATAATATAAAAAATCCTTTTTACTATCTAAGATAACAGATGTAGGTGATAGCAAACTCAAGCATAGAAATCATACCCCAATAATAGTTTCTATTCCTGATCAGGCAGTGTCCCTTTCACACAGTTAGCCTTTATTGTTTGTACTCTTGACATAAATGTACTGTTTTGTAGAGGATTTCTGTATTTGGGAGATTATTTTGATGTAAGTTGAACGTGGATTTTTGTATATTGCAAATTTGCTAGCCAGCACACATGTTGTTTCTTGCTGAAATACTGGATGAGAGTACAGTTAGAGGAGATTAATCCATAAAAGTTTAAGAGCAAATTTGTGAGTTTTCAAGCAGAATATTCTGATAGCATTGCTGATCTTGGAATTAGTGCACAATCTTGTGCTACTTGTGAGATCTGGGAATACGCAAGAGAAGCTTCAGCTACTAGCATACTCTAATGTTAATTTTCTTCTAAAAATAGAGGTAATTTTTCATAATTCCTGAGTAGAGTGGAGCCTGTCTTTATGGTCCCACTTTGCTGAACATTTGGGAAACCCTTTGATATTTTCACATCACTTAGAACAAGAAGAGAGTAAGATTTCAGATTGGATCTGACCAACTTTGTCTCTTTCCTAAGTTGCTGACCAACAGAGAAGAGAGAAACTGAAAAAGAAGATAGCCAGGTATGAAAAAGAAATGAATGTGAGCAAAAGTGCCTCACGATCCAGCTCAAGAGAGAGTGGAAAGCTGCTGTCAACCTCTTTTGGAAAGGTAGATATTTTAATTTCATTTAGTAGATATCATAATTGGCTTGCCTCCCATAATAACAGCTGATCACCAATGCAGCAGTAGTTCTAGAAGGAGGACTAGTATATTTCTAACAGTAGAAGATAAGACAACTGTCTTCCTGGTGTGCACCCAACCCTGTCTCAGCCTTCTGATAAAGGTGGCAGGTTTGTGGATAAAGCGTGCTTGTGATAAATCCAAATTGTAGTTACCCTTGAATTCTCTCTGTATCATTTCAGGTCAAATCCCCGTGTCCTCCCTTTGTCACTGAAATTGAAAATGGTATTTAAGCCGTCCAAACGAGTGAAGATGAATACTTTTCTGTCAGTATGTATAGGGTCAATTATTTTGACTGGAATTTCACCCAGTTGTATGGTGTGTGTTCCCAAATAATAAGTAGTCTAATAAACTATATAATATTATTCATTTCTGTACAAGAGCAATTAGAGCAATTTGCAACTCAAAAAAAGAATGCTATTTTAACTTTGTTGATTTTGCTGCCAAGTGCATCATTCATACGTTTGTTTTTGGCAGTGGGCAGTCTGAGTATGACCTTATTGTAGTGAGACTTAATGCTCTGAAATTCAGTACATGGCTCTTAGTTATGGATGAAATCACAGGCATGAGTAAGAGAAGGGACAAAGTGTCATATTTAAAATCCAAGTGTTATCTTTTGTTGATAATATTTTTGTTCCTCTGTGCTATTTGCTGCATACTGGGTGGCAGATAAATTCCTTTAATTATTTCACTGCAAAAACAAGTAAAGTGGGCTTAAAATCTCTTACTGCTATATAAATTATCATTTCTAAGGAAAAGGATGTGTGGTCTTTAATACATCATTATGAGATTGTCACTCTCCCTTTGCTTTAATCGCTTTCAAAACAAAGTCTTCCTACAATAATTTCTCAGTTCTACTAATTAATTACAGATGCTTTCCCATCAAAATTGTCCTGAAAGTGTAGTTTTTATCATGCCAAGAGTAACTGCAGTTTTCCTTATGTTTGCTAGCCTCAGGATGTAACTCAACAAAAAATTCTGAGTCTGAACTTGAATGTATCAATTAGAATATCAATAGAAAGATGCATTTTATGAGTGATTTTTTTTTGGGCTTGCCAAGTCAGCATTTAACAACACTTAAAAAATTGTTTTTTTGACATAATAGGTTTGAGGGGTTCTTTTGTTGTTGTTTGGTTGGTTGGTATGGGTTTTTTTTGTTTGTTTGTTTGTTTTGCTTCTGTAGGGTTGAGAAGTAAAAATCTGTAAGAGAATCTTCTGGTGGAAGGGTAAGCAGAGGAAGTAATTGGCCTCTTTTTTAGTAGAAAAAATACAACAGTCCATATTTAACCTGAATTTGACAAAATTTGCATTGGTTTCCTGTGCTTGTTCATACACCAAGGAAGGATTCTTGCCCTTCAAGGTTTAGATGTTTTCTAATGCATTGTTAAGATAACTTAGCCATTCTAATTGTATTTTACCAGCTATCAGAATAGGTGATACTTAGAAAGCAAATTCTAAGGATACCTATGATAATGTAGAGAGGTTGCAGCAAAACTTACAGCTCTGACCAGGCTAGGCTTAATATGGCTAGTCAGTTTTGATTTACACAGCTGGCTTTTTATTTTCATTATCAATCACTGTTTATGCTTTCTGGTAAGTCTGCTGCCTTTATTTCATCATTCTGCATTTTTTTCCATAGCTGCATTTATTATTCAGTGTTGTACTAGAGCAGAGAAACTGTTTTAAATTGAGCCTATGCTTTGTGCATGGTAAAAACAGAAAGAACTAAAAATTATTCCTCTAAGACATAGAGATTGTAAGAAATTTATAACTTACTATGTGATTTAGTCAGTGTATTTTATTATACAGTGAACAGAGCTTGAAACTGAATATCTATAATGTGCCTTGAATTTGACTAGTCATCATTTTCCACTGTTTTATGCAAGGGTTTGAATGCATAAGAACAGTAAATTCTTCATTTAATATCTGGTAATAAATGTAAAGTTACTGTAATGTGAGACTCTGCAGTGACATGAAATTAACTGAGAAAGTTATTTCTGTTGTGGTGACCTAAGTTTCACTACTGAGTTTTATTAAAATCATAGATTATCTTTAAAGGAGAGTATTTAGATCACTGAGTTGACATGTGGGCTAAGGTGTGATAGATGGTTATGCTGCATCATGCATTTCTGTGCTTTTAGCAGAAGTGTGAGAGGCTGAGGAGCCAGCTGATTTTCAAAATGCACAATGGGGCCTTTTGATGGGATTGCTCTCAATTAAGGTGCTTCAAAGACAGTCATTTCTCTCAGTCAAACAGAGGAGCAAGGAAAGCATAAGATGTACAGGAGACTGCTGTACTTCTCTTTTCTATTTCCATGCTACTTAATGTTGACAGTTGACAGACATCATGTGTGAATGTTTATCAAACCAGTATGATAAGCTACAGATTTGGATGCTGAAAGAGCTGATAACTTTGTGTGTCTTTGCAGATAATTTAAAGTGAGTATTTTAAGTCTCCAAATCTTAAGGATGAGTAAGCAGCACACCTGTGGGCATCCACACATTTATCTATCACCAAATTAAGTACATACACTCAGTCTTAAGTTAATTACTTGAAGTGATTTTCTTACGACAGAAAGGGCTTTTTGATGCAGTCTGGCAAATGTCATGTTCAGTGAGTGAAACTGTGTGAAGCTCAGTATGACTTAATTATGAAGCAAGAAAATCTGAAATGAGTTTCCCATGAGTAAAAACTCTAATTCGAGCAATACTTGCTGTTTCATATTCCATGTTTAGATAATCCTATTAATAGGCATTTCTGACTGCTAAATATTTTTAAAAGAAATTACTCCATGCCAAATGTCAGTTGAAGGGATTTCAGCCATTTTAAATGAGTTGTAATTGCCTTTGGAACATGAAGGACTGCTTCACGTTTCAAGATGGATTTCAGTCTGATTTTTGAGACTTTGATTTCTTAAGAATGACAGGTATGACCTTTTACATGCTCGTGTATATGAAAAATAGATTAGGAAACACCATTAACAGTTTATAATATCTATTAATTTTTTATGCAGTGCACATGCATGGTTATGTGAGTTACTTCCTCAAATGCTTTGTGTTTAAAGATTTATTACACTGTTATGATGAAGAAGTATCATGCTTGAATTAGTTCTTGTCAGAATGATATATGTGAGCAACTAAAAGAGAACAGAAGAACCTTCTGAATATCTTAAGATGTTTTCATCAGGAATGTTCAATACATTCTATATCCTACATTTGATGTTCTATTCTATTTCTTTTCTGGCTTCATAACAGCAACCACCTCCCACACTGGTTGTTTGAATAAATGTGTTTCCATACGCACATTCAGTAATTTCCCTTCTCAATAACATCAGGCTTCTTGATGGAAGCAGTGATGTATCACATTATACGACTCAATAGTACACTCACGTGGATATAGAAAATGTAACAGGAATGTAGTTTAGAATGAGAAAAATGGTTATTATTGATGCCACTATGCAGACTGATTGTATTCATTCCAATCTTACTTGTTCCTGGGTTTGTGTGAATTTTCTCTCTTAATTTTCTCAGTCTTTAAGTAAATATCAAAGTGTATAAGGAAAGGAACAGGTGATGTACAAGGAGGGTTGTGAGACTAGCAAATGTAAAGAAGGTTAAGAAAGTTACTCACTTAATAAATGAAACCATTTACTCTGTCTGAGGAGCAGAAAGCAGGAATTCAGTTGACTTACAGCAGTAGTAGTGACTTACAGATTGAGCTGTGTCAAGTTAAAAGAATCAAATGTTTATTTATTACCAAATTCCAGTTTCTGTCTCTTGACAATACAGATGATAAGGTATGAGCTATGATGGTAGATTAACATATTTACTTACAAGTGACTTTTCTAAAACATCGACAAATTACAGACAAACAGCATTATGCTGCATTCCTTCAAATCTTTTTGAAGTCAGCCACATAGTTCCCTGTTCCTGATACTGTCTCTCTGTATATCCAGAGGCTTTGTTCCCTTTGTGTTTGAGCAATAAAGGTTTAGCCAAGGATGAGGGGTTCAAAATACATTATCTTTCTAAGTACTTGAATGAATATAACTCAAGATTGACACAAATACAGGTAGGGTTTGTGGATCTACTTAGCTAGTCATTATGTCTGTTCTGCTTATGGCATATTTTAGAAGAGAAGAATTTCCTAAATTCCTCAAAAATAAGGAAAGCTTACAGTATATTGCCGTGTTTACTCTATCCTTTTGTCTTGTTTTAAGATCAGTTCAACTAGATCCATGAAATAGATTGTGTGGCTTTCATGAGTAGTAGTTCTCATTAGTATGTTTCGTTCTGTTTTTTGGCTGTTTCTTTTTCTTCCTATACGATGAGGCAGCAGTCATCATCCCGTGTTAGCAAATGCTTCTGCAGTCTGATCTATTTTGCAGCTCCAGTCACTGAAAGTAAAAAGTATACAACCAAAAAAAGCTGTTTATAATACATATGGAAAGGTGTGGAATTAACTTTGCAAAATAAATGTCTCTATAGGTGGATTCTGGAACTTTCCAGTCTTATTTGTTTTCTGTAGTGCAGAGCTACCACTGCAACTATTTTATATGCAAACAATCACTCTGGTAAGCCTTAATTGTGCTGCTTGCTAACACAGGCATTTGTTTGGCATTGTTATTGCATGTTATCAGTTCAGCATTTAATTGTGCTGTAGTGGTAAAATTAAGTTGGCAAATGTGAGACACCATCAAGAAGGGCTTTTTTGGCTCGGCTAACTAAAAATAAAATCACCTCTTTGCATCAGTGGTTGTCCAAATTCTGAGGTATTGGAACAGATTGTTCTACTAATTTGGGAGGAATGTGTGGAATTGTGAAGAAAATAAACAGCATGATAGCAGTGTGTTCTGATTTAATTTTGATGATTAGCTACATTCTTTAATATTCCTTTTAAATAGCTTTTACTGCATACTATAAAGTATATTCTGATTATCTTGAGTTTTAATTTAAAATACAAAGCAGTTCTAAAGGTAAAAACTGGAATAGTGTAGGTTCAAAGCATTAACAGTAGCAGCTATGCAGAAATCCAACATTTTTGCAGTAACAGTCATTACTTGGGTGTTCTTAGAAGCTTTATTGTAGAAATTGAATGGTAGAATAGAAATTCTGTGCATTTATGATCACCAAACTTTACACAGGTTAATCTATCAGACATTATTATAATTTATATTACCAGGCTACAGTGTCTTGAGTTTACAACAAACATACAAAAATTTCCAAGTGTCTTTTCCCTTAGCATACTTACATCCTCAAAGTAGAAGGCTTCAGAAGTCTCGCAGCAGCTATTGATTATCTTGCAAAATTCCTATTATTTGTTCAGATGGGAGTTATATCAGCAAGTTAATTTCTGTATTAGCCTATCTGAACTTGAACTTCAGGTCTGTTAAAAGTGTGTTCCCTCATTGGCCTTAGAAATTGTCATATGAAACATCTCTATTTGTATACATCCATTTAACTCTTACAGAATTTACTGATGCTGTGTAGTTGCTGTGTAGCTATGCAAACTGACTGTAAGGAACAGTTTCTGCAATATCTGACTATTTGATTAGACATGAACTGAAACAATTTAAGTTTGTAGCTGTTGGCTTTGAATTGGGCTTTGTCAGATGTTATTCTATTCTAGCTGTTATTTTGTCTCTTATTATATGGCTTGCATGGTATAACCTTAAGATTTGTCACACATTGTGCAGCCTCACCTCAAGCACTGTGCAGTTTTGGGCTCCACAATATAAAAAAGACATAAAACCATTAAAGAGACTCTAAAGTAGAACTACAGAGATGGTGAAGTATCTGGTGGACAAAAGCTATGAGGGCAACTGAAGTCTCTTGGTTTGGTTGGTCCAGTGCAGAGCAGGCTCAGGGGAGGCCTCATGAAAGCTCCTTGCAGGGGAGCAGTGCTGAGCTCTGCTCTCTGATGACAATGACAGGACCCAAGGGAATGGCATGGAGCTGTGTCAGGAGAGAGACACCACCAAGCTGCCAGAAGTTATGGAGCATTTGGATGCTCTCAGACAGAGGATTTGATTTTTGGGTAGTCTTGCGTGTAGTTAGGAATTGGACTCGGTGATTCTTGTGGGCCCCATCCAACTCAGGATTCTTGTCTCTCCATTAGTATGCTGTTTCTCATAAGAATTAACACAACAAAAATTTAAATTGTTGGAAAGTTTTTTTTGCAGCCCTACAAAGGATGTGCATCTTGCACCCACAGGTGAAAGAAAAGGGTTATGCAGGGAATAAGCAGCTAGTTACAATTTCCTTACTCTGTATCTTAAACCACATTACAGTAGTTTCCTTTTCAGTCTAAGATGAATCAGTGAGTGGTGCCCCTTGCAGAATGTATATTTTATAAAAACAGCTGCTGTGTGATAAATCTTGAATCTAATAGGGTTTGGAGAGAGAGGCAACAAATCCACACGTGAAGAGAATCTAGGTAGTGTCGTCAGGATAACCGTGGATAATATCTATTTACCTTACTTTGTGTGGGCAGAACCAACAGAGCATACCCAGATAAAATCATTTGTCTCAATTCAATGATTATTAGCTCCTTGACTTCTAAAAATGTTCTGAGGTTTTGATCTAAGATAAGGTAATGTCAATCTTTTCCCATCAGGCTGTCAAGTGTTAGTTACTTGTTAGTGCTGGAGCTGCTCTGAAACCAGTTTCATTTTAGGTCAAAAATACCTCCGAGTTGGTAGCAAAAATAGCTGAGGTATCAACTTGAACAAAGCTGGTCGCTTGCAAAGCAATCAAACCTTGGTTTAACTTTTTTCTAGAGTCCTGTGGAAGTAGAAGATAAAGACAGTCTGTTCTCCTGTGTTGAGCGCACACCATGCCTGGCAAGAGCACTGTCACCTTACGGTGAGCTTGGCTTGCTTTGCTCCAGTCCAGTGGAATATGCCAGAAAACGTTCTCGGAATAGATCTAATGCATCTAACTCAAACTCAAGTGTCAGTATGTCAAGCACACCAAGAAAACGCTCTGGAGTTTCAAGCCGTTGCTCCTCTGATAGCTTTGCAAGCATCAGTCGTTCTCAGAGGCATCAGGAAAGCAACTCCAAAATATACAGTGGGGATCTTCTGGACAGACACTCAGAATTATTTACCAGCAGCCAGAAACCTTTTACTCCACGCACCTTAATATCAGATGCTAAATCTGCCCTGCTTGGGTATAGGTATTACACTGCTGCTCAAAGGAAAAGGAAAAAGCACTGCAAGCAACACGTGGAAGCTGAAACACAGACTGATGTGATCAGGTACAGAGATTAAAACTTTGTTTTACAACTGTGGAATTTTGCTACCTGCTACTATACTATTTACTGTTCTGTATGGTGTATATTTGTGCTTTCTGTCTTCTAAAGAATTAACTTTATTCTAAAGAATTAAGTATGCATGTCTTCCTCCCCTGTTGTCCCCACAGTCTCTTACCTTCCAATTCATTAATTAACACATCATGCAAAGAAAATGTTTTTTTTTTTCTTGAATGCAAATCTTCATTGCCTTTTAATTGCAAAGATCTTACGGCTGTGGGTGGCATGAGTTCATACGACTGCCTTTATAATACATAGAATCATGTCTATTCTCAATTCAGAATAATTACTGTGGATATTTTATTTATCCTCTGTAAATACAGCCAAAAAATGGATTGGGAACACTTCTGTTTGGCTAGCGTTAGTGTTCAGACTTAACTTTATTTTAATTTCTGCTAGACATCTATTCCCATGATAAAGCTTTCTAAACTGTTCAAGCATTTTAGTACTAGGTTCCTTTCAAATTTATGGGAACAAAATGTCTGAATTTCCACAGTGGCTGGCACTGGTATTCATGTTCTGCTTACCTTGAAAGCCGCCGTAGAGATCTAATACATCTCTAAATCTTGTAGCTTTCCAAGTGCAGATAAAGGATCTGAGAGAAAAGTTATGACTGAGCATCAGAAGATGACAGTGAAGGTAATACAATCAGCATTATCAGTGTATCAGTCAGTATCAGTATATCAGTACAATCAGTATATCAGTCATCTAGATGATTTTTCCCCACCCTTCACTACCATTTTAGAGTATATAATTCATCTCTGGCACAGCAGTATACAATTGAATAAAGTTGCATTCTCTTTGTCATTCTAAGATAAGTTAGATGGAGGATAAAATTTTAGAAGAATGAGCAGAAGTGGTAAGAAAAAAAAACTGAGCTTAGAAAATAAGAGTTTTGAAAGTGTTTTTTTCTCCAAACAGTTTTAGAGAGGCACTAGCATGCTTAATTATCTGTAAAGGACATAAATAATTGGCATGTTATTTATCAGCATACCTTTCTGCCTCTGTTACAAGGATTTTTGTCTTTATTTTGCATTGGTTAACATATATATAAAGCCTGAGACAGAAGTACTGGGACTAAGGAGTCCCTTCCTCTTAGGAAATATCCAAACCAGTAGACAGAAATGCTTTCCTTGCTGTTGTTTTCTGTCACTTTTGCTTAATGCAAATTTTTTTAGTGAACAGTTATACCACTTCAGGTTCTATCTGCTCCCTAATATTTTATATTGCAGTCACAGATGGTTGTAAATATATAACTTCAGTAGCTAGGTGCTCATTACTGATATAATTTACTATGTATTTTCATTGATAATAAATATTTTACTTTTGCGTTCTAGACTGAAGATAGAAGATACAATATGGATGAGCCTGAGAAAGGAATAGCTGCTTTTCCATACTCCTTTATAAGGTACCTAATTTACACCAGGAAGAAATAGCTGAAGTATTCTTTTTGGGTTTCAGCACAACTTTTTCTTAGGCTAGGAAGCCATCACTTACAGAACTTGTTAGTTTTTGATGAATGGCCTTTTCCAACTCCACAATTTAGTTTTCTTTTGATGAAATTCCACTGTAAAGGCGGTGAAAAGGAGATGCATTTAATAATAAGAAAGAGACATCTGAAATACATGTGATTTTTCATGTTTTGTCTTTTTTTTTTTTTTTTTTAAGGAGTGAGACTAATGAGAACTTAATACAACTTTAGTTCTGTATATAACTGTGAGCTTATAAACTGTGTGTTTAATGTACTGTAGCTGTATTGGCATACCCTTTCAGAAAATGAGTTTCCAGAAATCTAGGCTTTTCATTCTAAGAGATGCCAAAGTTCCAGGCCTAAGGTATTTTCCACATCCTTTTCTGAAACTTTAACGCTGAACATTAGAGCACTGTCATAAATACAAGAACAGGGTTGAAAATGAAGTCCTGAACCAAGGATGCCTAGTTCATTCTCCTCATTGCTGGAGAACAGAATCATGCTTTACTTGCTGATTTACTCTGTGGCCTTTGCACAGAAATCTAATGGGTTACTTTTCTTACTATTCTTACTTCAATGCAACAGCTGTTATTTAATAAAAACAAATATCTCTTCTAGTAATTCAGGTATTAAGTTAGCTTACTCTATAAACTCCATTATTTCAATTGATGATCTGCAAACTCCATATGGTACATTTAAGATAGGTCTGTCAGAGTTCATTTATAGACGTGTGCCAAAGATTATCAATTGGGTATTCATCCTTCCTGAAGTCTACTATGTGGCAAATAACACAGGGAGCCTTACCCAATTAAGTACCAAATCATGTTCAGGTAAAAGCACTTTGTCTGGATGATGGATACCTCTTTTTGAGTTATCATTCAGAAAACTGCATCTACTAAGGTACTGTAATACTCTTCAACTATTGCCTTTCAGGCTTCAGGGTAGGTAGTCAATTTTTCTATTGGAGCAGGGTTTCAGAACTTCTGGTGTTGTTTTTTTTTAAATCCCCCAAGGAGCAGGGGAACAAGACAGGCAGATGATTTCAGAAGAGCATGAGATGCAAGGTACTATGCAGGGTTTTGATAATGTTGCTCTTCACTGTTTCTTACCCTCTGATTTTTCTGATTAGAGAGGCATCATTGTATTCTGAGCAGCTTTCAGCAAGGATGAATATTAAGGCTGTGTAAGTATATTTACACGATTTTTCTGCTAGTTCGGAACAGTAAACTAGAAGCCCTCAGAAGTGATCAAACAATATAGAGGGACTCAGAATACACTTCACATTCTATAGTAAACCTGATATATGAATTTATATTTAACAGTTAACAACTTCCATATCAATCCAAATCTGAAGAAAATTCTCTATAACTGTGGAGGTAAGATAAATTGCTATTATCCACAGGCTACACTTTAAACATTTTCAGTTCTTTTTTTGGACTAAAATTTGTCTGGAACAAATTAGAAAGATTAGAATGTGGAGTTGGTGAATTCTCACCAAATTTTTGCTCTTAGATTTGATGAGATTTAAAGGAGATTCAATTTTGTCAGTGATCTCTCATATGACCTCAGGAAAGTGGTCTGATATCTATATACTTTAGATAGTCTTGTTCTTGTCTAACTTCAAATATGTAATACAGATCATCTTTGATAGATGGAACCACAAATGACAGTCTTCAGACTGCATGACAACTCTTACATAATCATGAAAGTTGTATCAGTCTTGTTATTTTCTGTTCATTACTAAAGTGGAGGATGATTCTATAGAGCTTAATTAGTTGGATACTTTGGGATATTTAGAAAGATGCCATGAATGCAAAACAGCATTTAAATGTTTTTTTTTTAAAAGGGGGGGGACTGGGGAGGTAGCAACAGAGTTTAGAAGTGAAAAAACACCTGAGTTTCAATGATTCAAAGAGGTAAAAGTCACATATCACACAAACAAGGACTTGTATTCCAGAGTTGTCATTTGAAAGGAATGGAGGCTGCCAACAAGCACTACTTACTTTTATGTACTCCCGCTGAGGACTTGCAATTATGAACTGCAGTCAGATTCTCAAGAAGCTCCTTTGGAAGCCTTTTGCTAGAACACCAGACTGCAATCTTCTACTTTCTTGCCCCTTTCTTTCTGAGTGCAAAGCAGGTTGTTCATGTTTTACGGTTGCCTCTTCCCTCACTTTCCCTCACTCGTGCTCTTTGCTAACACAACATAAATGTAGCATAAATATGAAACACCATAGTGATTTAATTATTTTTTTAATTGAGTGAAGGGCTAGGCAGTTGTCTCTATTTTTAAACACCTAACATTGAGCTTTCTGTTCTTCCTCCAGAGAAGATGACCATTTATATTTAACTTTCATTGAAGATATAACAAATGACATTCTTGACATTGGGCTGTTTTCTAACAGGTAGATTATGGCTGTTTTAAAATTTGTAATGCTATGTCAGTATACATTTCATTGCCTTTTAAGAATATATAAATACCCAGTTACCCCTTGCTTGTTTTATTTCCTTTTGATTCTTACTTTATATAAGAAAAGAGGACTGAGAAAGAACTGCAGGTCATCTATTTCAGTCTACTCCAATGTAACATGAGATGCAGCCTCTACTAGAAACTGATCTATGTGGAACAATGCTAAGAAAAAATAATCTTACTCTGCAAGATCTGTTTTGCTAAATAAACAGTTATTAATCTTTTGATACAGTACTTCTTCCATTGCCTTTCTGTCCTTGTTCCTGTTCCAGCATGAATTCAGCCTTCATTGTAAGGATTACATACTGTTCCAGATAAGGGTTCACTGGTTACTAAGTCATATTTTTTTAAAATAATTAATAAGTAATTATTCATGGATGTGAGCATTACTCCCAGATCCTTTGCTTACCTGTAGAATAAAGGCTCCTAGTAGCCCTCTTGTGACAGAGCTTAATTAAATCTTAGTGGTCCTCTTCAGCTAAGAAATAAAAATCAAGAAGTAGGGTTGTTAGAACATGGTTTTGTTTGTATTACCTGATCTATTTTTTTTTTTTTTTATTTGTAGAGTTCTGGAACAATTGTTTGAGTGTCATATACAAGAAAATAAGAACCGTTTGGATGAGGTAGGTACTGCTTCTGTAATATTCTCACTTTCCACATTTCCAAAGTACAGTGGAAATGCACTGGTAAGTTTTCTTGTGTACATAACCATAATAACCAATGGGGAACATCTTTCTTTAAGATGTTTGCAGACTTCTGATCTACCAGGAGTAAGGCATAGTCACAAAAAAAGTGACAACAGTCAATTCAGTTTGGTGACTCTTGCTATATAATTTAGTCACTCAGTTGCAAGCAACCTCCATTTCTTTAGCCAGAATGAAGCCCTGAGTTCTGGGCAGATAAGTGCTATGGGCTTTAGCTGCAGAAATATCACCCTTTATTTCTTCACCTCCTAGAGCAAAATGCGGCACCTGTTGGATGTGCTTAAAGCAGACCTTGGCTGCAGCCCACACAGTGGTGCTGAGCAAATCCACACAGGCTGGGAAGCCTTTGAGTCACTGGATCTGGGAAAGGTTAATATGATGGAACAGCTTGAGTTTTGCAGTAGAAGTCAGAAGCAAGGAAAAGCTACGAAAAGTGAAGAATTCTTTAAGACCATGGATTTGTTATCGAAGGAACCAAGCACATGTGAAGTGCCACTATGCAATGAAAATTCAAAGAAGACAGAGAGCAAGGGTGACTTTTCAGAAGATGTTGATGAAATGATGAATGCTGAGACAGAGTCTCATGCTTGTGTGAAATCTGAAGACCCAGACACTTCACCCTCATGTGAGGAAACTCTAAACTTGATTACTTGTGACAGTGATTTGGGAGCCAACAAGGAACTTGATGATCTTGAGGAAAACTTTGCAGAGGTCCTTCAGATCACACATGACCACTCATCATAGTGGCCAAAATTTAGCTGTTAAAGAGGGAGGAAGCTATTTTTGTAGAGAATTGCCATTCACTAAATAAAGAGAAGCAAATTGTTTATATTCAGGTGTTTTAACAGAATCACTGTGTTCTCTTTAGCAGAGTATTTATTACAGATTGGTGACCATTTCTGTACTGATGTAGACTGTAAAGGGTAAAATGACTTAAAAAAATACTTCATATATTTTGTCTGTAAACATACTGCCCAAAACTAACTTTTGAGAATAGTAAAATTAGATGCATATTTTATAGAAAGCTGCAGAATTATGAAATATTTATCGTTTTTATTTATAGCAAATAAAATTAATTGATGACATTTCTAATATAATGGTGGACCATGTTATAAAGATGCAAGATTTTTGCAGTTTGCAAGAACAACTCAATTTACCCACACTAAAATACGGTGTACTACTTACCTGCAGAGCAGAGACAGAACTGTTTGTTCAGCCTGGAAGAAGGCAGCATTATTTCCTCTCTTCATGCTCTGCCATTGTTTGATGTTAAATCCCACTGGAGCATGAAGTTCTTATCTCATTATTTTTTTTCTTTTCACAGTACCTGTAGAACATAGCAAACAAGGTTTCCTTGCTTTAGCTTGAATGAAATAAGGCTTGACTAGTGACAGCCAACTTTCCAAAAATAAGCATTTCTTTCTGATATTGCTAGCTGGTCATTCCTCCTTTCGCAGCTGTGAACTGGATTGTCTTATTCCGTACATCAACAGGTGTAAAAACCGTTTTGCTCTATTAGCTGATCTCATGTCAGAAACAGACATACAGTTCTAGCTGTTGCATACAGCAGCTTTTAAACTATTCCGTACACGTGCAGCTTGTTTTATGCACAGCTCTTAAGCTACTTAATCCTACTTGTCCATGATTTAGCTGGTAATTCTGGAAGTGAAGACTGCAACAGTTTTCACAGTGCATAACACCAAAATACACAGTCCAGTTTCTTGCATTGATGGCAACCTTGGTATAGCATTCTGCAGAGAGTTTTGGGTTTAGAAAAAAAAAAAAAAAAGGTCCAAGAAGAGCTGGACAAACCCAAATGGTAGAGCTTATCAACCTGCATGTGTAGCTACCTCCTCTGTGGCTCAAGAGCTTCTGGTAAACTATTAAACTTGTAAGCTCAGCATCTGAATGTAGTGTGCCAAAAGCTCCAGTAACCACAGACCATTGCTTCATTGTGAAGCATAAGCTTTTCTGGGGAAAAAACAAAGAACAAAACACTCCCAAAAGCTCTTTCAAAAAGCCAAATAAAAGCAATGCTTCTGGAACTCACCAGTGTTGCAGTACAGTGCATGTTTTCCAAGAAAACGAAAAGGCACTTTCCTGGCTGTCTTGGTCCTAATGATAAATCACCCTTGTTGACAGTGACAGCAGAGTGTGTTTTATTTTACCCACATACACGTGGCTGAGCAGATGGGTCTTTCGTCTGCCATGCTCAGCTGGCTATCTTACAAGTCTGGCCTGCAGCCTGAGTCCCCTGGCTCACTGAAAAGTAGGGATGATGTGAGGATTTTGCACTGCTCCATCAGAGCCTGTCTCATTGAGAAGACACAGCCACAGCACTGACTCAGTGCCAGGATCGTTTCTCCCTCATCACAAGGGACTGAAACCCTTCTCCCATCCCCAGAACAACTCCCTTTATCTTCCTTAGCCCAGAAGTGAAGAGCAGAATGCACCCAGACAATTGGGTTGTGTATTATATGAAAAAAAAAATTAACACAGAGTGACGGGCTAGGGCTGTTGCCTCCAAATATGGTTTATATATAGAACTAAAGTGTGTGGTGAGCCATCTCTAGGTGCAAAGCCTTCTTGCTCCTCTGCCATGCCCACACTGACTCCTGAAGCCCTCCCTCTGAGTTCTCCAACATTGATCTATTACGGAATTAAGAAATTTTCTCCCACTACTTTGTTGTATAACCTACCTTATAAAAAGGATCACTCAGCAAACTTCAGCTTGTGGTCAACGTAAGTCTGATTAAGTATTAATAAGAGATTCATATTAAAATTCCGCAAGTTAAAGCATAGCAGTGAAAGTGGTCATGACTTCAGCATGCAGAAGGGTGCAAATAATGACACAGTCATTTCCTGCAGTATGAGTAACATGAAAATAAACAAGTACTGTTCCTTGACCATGCTTCCTGTGGATGAGCTGTCTGAACATTGGTGACGTTTTATCTGGGTAGGTGGTAGTTATAGCAGTAAATAAATTAATAAAAACTGACCTTTTACAAAGAAACCATCTGTCTGCCTAAACCACGATTACAGAAATTTCCTGGACATTGAGTGAAATACTCAGTAAGGAACCCCAGAGGAGCACACTGATGTGCTGACAACTAGAATAGTCAGCACAGGCAGGGGAACTGATTTCTTGTACAACCATTACCAACAGGTAGTGGGGAAAGAACACTCGAGACAGATGTTATCAATATGAAATCAATTAGCTTATCTCACCTATAGATCCAAAAGTAAATTCAGGCTATCCTGTGCTTAATATTTCCTTGTTTCCTTATTCACATTTACATTTGGTGGTTCTTCAAATGTAAGTTGTTTAAGCAATTTGATACACAAACCAGACCCACATCACTGCTAAGATTAATCAGCAGTGCAAGCTTTGTTTTCTTAAGCTTTGGGGTTATATATATAAATAGTATATTTATATATATGTATAATATAAATAAATATATATATATATAAAATAGTGGTAGGGAAGGCATTTTTTTTTTTAATTTTTTTTTTTTAATCTTATCACCTTGAGTTTCTATTCACTTGACGATATATTCAGATTTTGGTATAAGCCCTAGGAGAACAAAGTAGTCTCACCACTATTGACTACAGATCTGAATATTTTGAAAGTAACTGTTAGGAGCAATCAGTTGCTGTGATCTACAATAGAAAGATTTATTTCTGCCCAGGCTCATCTAGGCAATAAACAAATTAATAGCATTAATGCTTACTTCAAATGATCAAAAGCCCATTATTGTTACTTTGCTCTGTGACAAAAAATCTCTTTTTTCTAAAGCCTACATTTTTGTCATCAGTAGCCTAGTTTTCAGAGGTAGGATTCTCTTTGCTTACAAATCAAAGTAGGGTTTTGGATCATTTGAAATAAAGATTCGTGTGATGAAGGGAGAAGGTGCTTAGGTGTCTAAGTGCTATATAGAGAAAAAAAAGGAAAACCTGCAAGCAAAACCCAAACTGTCATATTATCCCTAATCAACCTAAACAATATAACAAAAAAAAAGTGAAAAAAACACAACACTGTAACTTGAGGCTTAAAATTTCTTACTCCAAAACAACCGACCCAAATACTCACCAGCAGTCCTGTTTTCTTTATCGAAAGTGAAATCTGCTTCATTCAGATACATTCATCATCAATTTTCATTCCAAGTGGCAAAGCAATTGATGTGCAAACAGGTGAGTGGTAAACTAATCTACTGCACCATTGCATGTTGCATGGGTCACCACCAGTCAGGGAATCCAGTTTCAAAGCCTGTAAGTGGATCTTGTGCCAGCGGAAGCTGAACTTGTCATGGGGAGAACACAATGCTGGGAAGGGAAAGAAGCAGAAGTAATTCTTGCTTGCATGACAGTTCATCCGTTGAGCCACAGAAGACCTATAGCTCATCTCTACCTCAACCCCCTAAATGAAATCCTGCGAGGACTTCATGAGATCAAGCAAAGGCAGCAACAAAAAAAGTTAATTCAGGTAAAGGGAACCAAAATTAACAATGTTGTACCTACTATGCTCAGGGCTTTCTGTTCCCTGTAGAAAACATCCAAAGTAACTCTCAACAGCATAACTCTACAGGCCTCATAGAAGGCTTGGTCTCTTTAATGAACTCACTATGCACATTTCAGCAGGCAGCAAAGGGCAGGCAGAAGGTGTGCAGGACACCAAGGTGACAACACGCAAGTTAAAGTTGCACTCACACGGTAAGCTGTTGGACTGGTTTGCAAAAGCTGTAGGGATGCTAGAGTCACAGTATATACTGTCTCACTGAGAGTAAGCACAGACTGCTGTGCAGTAGTTGTTCTTGTTGCATGCTCAGCACAGCAAAACTCCTGTGCAGTCCTTCCAGTCCTATCACGTTGGTGGAATGAAATTAGATCTTGAGAAGGGCAAGTAAAGGCTAAATAAAAGGAGTTGGGGGGAGACCATCTGAAACTTGAGAGACTCACACAGCCTTGGTCTGGCAGGCTATAGAGCTACACCACCCCAGTTCTCTGAGGACGGGCAGCATGCTCTGAAGCACGAGGTGCAGAGATCTCAGCAGTTATCCCAGGAATTCAGCAAGCCCACAGGACTCCCCTTACAGTATCTGCACAAGGCTGCAGCATGCCTTACATCTCACAGCAGCCCGCAGCCAATTCCAGGAGATGAAGAGCAGAACGATGAAGTGACCCCAACCCAGTTATCTCTTTCTCTCGCTCACAAGCATACTCACATGCCAAAGAAGAAACTAAGGAATGTGTCAAAGGCCATCAGCTCTCCTGTCAGCCTGGGAATTCCTCACAGGACCTCTGAGCAGGGGCCTCCCCAGCCATAAATTCAAGCTGGAAGCATTTGGCACCCTTTTTCCCAGTGTTTGACACTGGGAAAGAGCAGAGATGATGCAGATAGCACAGGTTTGGGAGCTGGCTCTGAGGCTTCCCAAATGCTGGGTGCAGTCATCTCAGATAACAATGGGTTGTACAAGAGAAATAGCTGAACTCTTCAAGCTCTCCTCTCAGTTTTCCTTTCCCCAGAAACAAATTCTCACGGTGGGCCCTTCCCTCCAGCCTTGAGAGTCTTCAGCCTTGCACAAAAGAGCTTTCAACCTACTTATGTCAAGGGTCCCCACAGTGACTTTCTATGGCACACATGTTCTTCATGGCTCTTCCTCAATATCTGAGCTTCTTAAAGCCTCTGCTTGGTTCAATTCATAGCACAGTGAGATCTCCCAAAAGGGTTTTCGACATACTCTTTTTATGACCAGCTCCAAAACCTTTACCCAAAGTGACAACTGAGAGGTGAGAGACCACCCTGCCACTGTGTTGCACCCATGATGCAGTCTCTGGTACATTCCAGTCACAAAACTATGGGGCAAATCAGAAACAAGATAGGCTGTCTCACAAAGTTACCTTCATAGGTATAGAGATAATTCAGCTAGTAATACTGGAGCAGTATTTCCAGTTTCTTTCAACAGTGAATGTAAATTAGCCTCCGTTCTGCTTATTTGTCATTATTTAAAGACCAGCATTGTGCAGAGAGATAAGGTTGTCATTTTATCCTGCAAACACAACAGTTCCTTCTGCCCTTTAAGCCTTAAGAGAAATTTGGGGAAAAAAAGACAAATATTTCATCAACCATAGAAGTTTGTTTCTATTTTTGCCGAACAATTGTGTTTTCCTCCTCTTTCCTAATTACATTTTGATCCTGACTACTGACACAATGCTGTGTTTCCCCTCTCTTTACGAAGGAGGAAACAGATGTTGTTATTTGAACAGTGTTGCCACTTTTTCCAAGCAGAAGTTATCTCCAGAGAAAATCCAATCAAAAGTACTGATTATTGTTGCTGGCCTACCTCAGCAAGGGAGCTTTCAGGAGTACTAGCACCAGGAAATAAAAACAACATTGTATTTATAATGAGTCAGTGAAAGGATGGGTCTTCTTTGAGCTGGAAAACTGAGGCAGAACAGCTCCCTAAGAACTACAGTTTCCAATTAAATTGCTTCCCCAAGTTTATGAAGAAAAGTGCATGTTTGGTGACTGACGAAAATTAAGTGATGGAGACCTACAGCTACCTACTAAAACAGTATTTTAAGCATTATCAAACTAAAAACAGTCTTCAACCTTTTAAACCTCCGAAGTATTTTTGCTTAAGGTTCTGATAATGGAAATACATTGTTGGCCACAATCATGAATAGCATGGTATGCAGAGAGAAGACAGCAGACACACATATGCACACATCAAAGTATGCGGTTCCTTCAAATCACTGATTATCAGTATTAACCAGGCTTGACAGGGACTTTCTTTGTAGGTACTTAACACCAGTGAAAATTCTTCATCTGCCTCTGGGTATGATAATTCTGTGTCTGTTCGTGGAAGGATTTGATGTCCTTCTAAATTTACCTAAGGCATATGACTATCATTTTAGAAATAGCTAATAATAATAATCTGAACTAAGAACCTTAGATTAAGAAATCTCATGTGCAAGCCCTCAATGTCTTTCCTGCTTTTCTATTACAGCAGATACCTTAAATCCATAAAATATGCAGGGCAGTTACACTGTTTTGGTTAGTTGAGTATGACCAATGTTTGGCTTAAATTTAGATATCTTTCTGAAGGATTGTCCTGCTTATCTCTAGGAGATGTGGGCATTAATTAGAAATAGGAAAGATTTTTTCTAAGCTCTCTCCCTTCTAGCTTCCCCATGTGTCTTTTTTTTTTTTTTTTTTTTTTTTTCTCCAGAGAGTGCAACAGGCACAAGCCTTGAAGTCCTTTCTTCAAAAAAGCTCCCAAAGGATGCCAAGAATTCAAAGGTTATTTTGTGATAAAATAGTCCCAAGCTCAACCATTTCCTACTTACTCTTGCTTTTTCTTTGAATTAACGAGGCTAGGTTCAAAGCAACTGTAGTAATGACAGAACTAGCCTTTAACTACCAGAACAATCATTTCCCTAAGCACCAGAACCACAACACAGCCATCACTCAAATGCAGAAGGTTCACCCTGTCCAAGAGCCAGACTGAGCCAATGACATCCAGAGCAACACAAGGTAACTTGCTTAGTGCCGAGCTGATGAGCATCCATCATACATCCAGTGCTCACTCACCTCCAACTCTGCAACACCGTTCTCCTTTTGGTACCTGCATACATGCAGTCACCATCATACTCACAAATGGTGTCCATTCATCAGTTGTCCTCTGGGTGCTGTAGGTAGCCTGGCAATTTCTTTCTGCAGTGCTATGAGCTGCTGTCCTCATGCAGAAGCCAGACTTCCAGACAACAATCAGAACAACAGTGGAAGAGAGAAAACACATTTATATGCCATCATTGACGTCTTAAAGAAAAGCAGTGGATATAACAGCAACCAAAACAAACAAACAAACAACAACAAAAAAATACCAGAACGTCATTATATCCTGAACAGAGAAACTGTCAGACATCAAACTCCCTGCTAGGTATTGAGCATTGCTGAGCTTCACGTAATCTTTATCTATCTACAGCCATTCTGGACTTAAACAACAGGCTGCTCTTTTGATTCTGGCCCCATGCCAAAAAGAGTGCTTTGCCCACACAGAATTTCCTCAGGGAAATTCTCAGGGTTTAGGAAATGATCAGACAGTTACATACATACGTATGTTATTTTACCTTATGTGCGTTAATGCCACCAAGTAGAGCATACCTGTAATACAAATCTTAATTAAAAGCCCAGTATTTCCTGATAACTGAGTCTGTGCATATGGCGTTCTGCAGGGACAGTGGATGTGAAATTGCCTGGTCTGCAATTACGGTGTCCAGTGTGAAGTACATCCTTTTATGTTTGTGTGCTTCCATTTTTGACTAAATATCAATTACAAAACAAAAACTTCAGTAACAAGTATTGGTAGCAGCTTCAATAATGCTAAGTAAATAATATTACTCATTAAGTCATATAATCGATGTTCTTTTCTCATGGGCTTTTGGAAAGGGCTTTTCAACTTCTGTAAGCTCTGCTTAAAGGGAAATTGAATATTCAATATTAAGAATGGCTTTATAAGATGCAAAAAAGAAAAAACTTAAAAAATGATGTTAGGTTGGCAGACGTGTGACTTTTCTACCTCAAAGATGAGAACAATTAGTACCTGCCAGTGGAAGCTTTATCTTCATATTGTAAACCAGGGCATTACTCACAGAGCTTTAAAAGAGGGATAACATCTTTTTGCACAGAAGGCCAAGTTCCAAACTGGAACACACAGCACTGATTTTTCTTTTAATAATGGAACAATAAAACTGCATCGTTGCTTCAAATATTTATTTTTCATGGCAAAAATAGACTATAATATATTCATTTCACATATATTACATTCAGTAATACAAGCTTTTCTGTCTATGAAACACAATTTTTACATTGTTTTACAAACCAATTTCAGTTTTACAAGAATTAAAGCTGTTTTGATTATAGATTTTTACAGTATTGATGGCAAGACAGCAAAAATAGACGTGTTAACCACTAGCTTTGTACTAGAAAATAATACTCAAAAATTCATGTTGCTACTGTAAATAAAGTCCCATTTAAATCCTTCCATACTGGCTCAAACGAAAACAGAAGAAAACTGAGCCAGATCCTGCATTCGTCTGACATTAAGCCCTACAAAACTGCTGAAAGGACTTCGAACACCTACTTGCTTCAACTGGGTGAAGAGATTTCAGCAGTGTGCAGGAGGGTACCTACCTACTGATTTGCAAGCTGGAGTCTAAAATTTCCAGATCAGTCATAAAGAAGACAAGCAGTTTGGGTGTTTCAAAGGAACTTGAGAAGGTATCTTTGTAAAGGGACAGCATATACACCTTGTCTGCCAGAATCATCCAGGATAAGCAAGGTGACAGACTGGAGGACCTATTTTCCTATTGTGTTTCCTATCATTCTAAAACTTAACTGTCATTAAATACTTCCACACGTCCTAATTTTACTTAAACATTTCCAAATGGAAAAACTGCATTTAAATTCCCTTTAAAAAGGTTTCAAAAGGCGCCTTCTGAAATTGTGCTCACAAAAGCAGTAATTTGGTAGTTTTGACTGCTGCCTAGAAACAAAGTAAAACCACAGTATCTACAGGCTTGCTCTCTAACTTGCCACACACTGCATCTGTTGTAAACTCTATTTGTTAGATTTTTGCATTTGATTTCTGTCTTAACTCCCCAATTAGAGCTGAAAAATGGGCTTCTAAGTAACAAATGTACTGGAGGTTACTCTTTACCACTAAACGCAGCATCACATGGAAAACTGCAAATAGAATCCAGGGTCATTTAGCAGCCATTTATTGAAATGCACATAGAAATGAAGAATGTTTTTTTCAGTCCTTGTAGACCTTAAAGGAACATACATGATGCCAGCAAAACGCATCAAGTTAGCTGGTCCCCAACAGGATCTTTGTAAGAAATCTTTTTTACAGCCATATTTGCAACAGCTGTTGCTGTTGAAGTTTAAGATATTTTCCTATAACCTAGCACATTTGAAATTCTCTGAAATTTTATTAGCACTGTACTTCAAATGGTACAATGTAACATATTTGTAAGCATATGCCAAATTCCACAATTCAAAGGCCCAGTTTTCAGCATAGCCTTAGCTCGATCCAGTTCATACCTACAGTAAGCAGCTGGCTGCATTCACAAATCATTTAAACTCTGAAATAATCTAATCTGCATCCATTACAAATTATCAGCACAAATTTGCACATACGCCCCTTTGCCTTCAGCTTGCACGCCTAAAACCTGAGACTGCGGCCTTAAAATCTGACCTTTAGTAAGCAAACAGAAGCTGAGGTGACAGATTGCACTGAATCTGTTTGGAAAAGAATATATTTAAAAATAACAGAGCTTCTGAAATAATATTTGGAGCTTCAAAAATCACATTTTAAAAAGTCAGCAGAAATAACACCTATGACTACATGCTCACTTACCCTACTGTGTAATAAAAAAAAAAAACATACCATATGAATCAAACCCTTCTAGCAGCTCCACTGTGGATACAAAATGTTCCAATTCCTCCTCCAAATGCCTTCCAGCCATTCCTCAAATCCACACTCTCCAGTTCTAACATTTTGTACTTTTACAAGAGAATTTCTTCCAAGTCACCTCAGCTACTTTTCCTTGTAATGTTCTAGCTTCATGTAGGCACATTCCTGATGCATTCTTTTGATTAATTCATGCAATCTATATTTAAATTCAAAGTAGATGTGAATATTCACATTTTAAGGGCTTTCACTGGCAGTAAGCATTACTTAATCCACTCACGAGAACTGCAGAACTTTTACCTCTTGAGGGATTGGGCTCTGGCTTTGCATGTGTTTTTTGTACTGGAAAGGAAAATAGAACAATAAATACCTAAAGCAAAGAATTATTATCAGTTGATCTGTTGCTCCTTTTAAATTAATAACTTGAGCTAACCATTGTAGCATAGTAACAAGTTCACTATTTTAACTGCAGTGTTTTAGTAACAGTACTGGTATTAAAACCGAGGTCTCATTACAGTGCTAGCTTATGAGACAACCACCACGCAGTTCCCAGGTTTGGTCCAGAGGCTGTTGAGAACTATGAGCCACTCAACTTTAACAAAGATTCCAACAAGATAAGTGTACCAGCAGCCTCTGGTAGCCTTAGTTACTAAAATTAAGAAAGTATTTTGGAGAAAAGTGCTTTAAGTGTCACACACTTTAAAGAGGAACAAAAAATGCATACTTTCTCAAAATGTAAAGAATTTTTCCGTTCCAGTATGCATTTATTTTAGAATCACAGAATACCTTGGGTTGGAAGGGACCTTAAAGACCACTCAACATCTCTGAAGGTTGCAACCTTCTATTTTTTATTACATTCCTATGCAGTTGTAGTTTTCACCTTTCATGTGTGCAAATGGTATCACAGTGAGAGCAATATCAAGGCCTTTAATTTTGCTATTCATGGAGACTGCATTCCAATATGCAGCAGAAAAAGGGGATCACTGTTTTGCGGGCTGCAGAGAAGCAGTGCAAAACTGTCATGTAGCATGAAGCTCCTCCATCAAAGAATGAGCGAAGAGTGAGCTGCAGTTGACAGCAAAGCCTGCTAAGTGTCATCGTCACAATCAACAGGGCTGCGAATTATGTTTTTAAAGAAGATCTGGGATTCCATGATTACAAGGATTCCCTGTCCAAAAAATCTCTCTTCAGAGCAAACAAGACAGAAATCAAATGTGCAGAAGCCCCTACAGCAATCTATTGGTTCCTTTCCTGACTCTTTGAGGAATTTGATCCTAAGAAAGCATTTACCACCTAGACCACAAAAGACGCTCACATCTGTCTCTTGATAGTAATATAGCACCTTTATTTATCCCTGAGAACTCTGGCATTCCTAGAGATCAGCATTATGTTGTTTTTCCTACTAAATAAGTTCAGCTCAAATCTTACATGATAATTACCTGGTTTCTCTCCCATAGTAAGAGAAGCACACCTGGCAAAATGGCTAACAATTTTAAGCTTTTGACAGAAGGATCCAATTTCCACTCAGGCTCTGACTGGATTTGGGCCACAGATTTTCTTATAAAGTCCCACACTTCACAAAGCATCCAGCACAACAGCATGTACAAAGCATCCCCTTAAAGGCTCAGAACAAGAAAGTGCTAAAAACTGAATGTTCTTTTAAAAGCTATCTGAAAATCTAAACATTTTTAAAATTAGTTTTGTGACAGGAGATTGTGGAGTTTTATTTCTTTTGGTATCTCCAGAAGAGAAACTGCTTGTTTTCAATGCCCGCTTGGCACCATATGCTTATATGTAAAAACAAGCCTGCTACCTTCATTAGGAAGGTTCATAGAAAGTCAAGTCTTACTAATGCAAAAATGCACTACAAGTGGAAAGACTGAAAAGCTGAAGTGGAGGAAGTAGCAGTGTTACTGCTTTTAAAAAAAACAGACTGTGACTACCAGGTTAGAGAGCTAACACCTCTGAAAGTGATCTCACTTCCTCTCAGAAAGACGGAGAAGAAAATGGAAGGGAAAAGCTTCCTCAGCCACCTCAGAAACTATCTCACAAGTTTGGAATGAAATTGCTTGTTTGTTTTTTTTAATGCCTCATACCTGACATTCTGTCCCAAGAGCTGCTGAATGGCAGAAAAGTGTTGCACAAAGTTATGGTCACCTACAATTTCATTAAAAGCACATGCATCACATTTTAAAGATCATAGCTCAAACTTTGGAAATGGTAAAAGCTACATTCTGGAGCATACATTTTTCACTCAGAAACTGTGGTTAAAAAAAAAAAAAGAAAGAAAAACAAATCAATGTTTCTATAACAGAAGATAGCACAAATAGCCAAATACATTTGCTTCATTCAGTGGTATTTCTGTTGACGCATACATGTCAAACTTGTTTGCCTGCAAGACTATATGCATAATCAGTCTTCAATAACTTCCAGGTTATTCCTCTGGAATAAGGCATTATTCCACTCAGTTTTATGTTTGGCAGTTACTACTTGCTAGGCATTTTTTTTCCCTCCATTTGAAATATTCAATATTTTTTTTTACTGAGGGTAGAACAATTCGGACTGCCTGAAAGAAGACCAAATGCACTAGTTGAATATTATAGTGTATTTTAAAGTAGCACGTATTTTATGGAATGAAATATTAGCACAATGTAATTTGGACCTTGTGTTTATCTTTATGGAAACAGCTTATTAAAAAGGAAATTGACAAAACATTTATTAATCTGTGTTTTGAGAGGACAATCATTGTTTCACAAGAGGAGAGGGGATATGCTTCATAATAGCTTCCAAAGCCTTGTCACAACTCAGGGAATAACAACATCTCACCAGTGGAAAAAAATCTCATGGACTCATTTCATTTTGTTAAGCAAGTACTGTGGGAAATGGATACTGAGATGTACCTGCACACTTGTCTACCATAGTATTTTTTGTTGGAAATTACACTAGATGTCTACAAACAAGTTAGCTCACTTTGGTATAGGGTCAAAGCACTCCAAAAGTAGGCAAAACCACACCGTCCTCATTTTAAAAACACAGACACAGAACTATTCAGGATACTGTCAACAGATCAGACCCATGCTATTCAGGGACAAGACAGAACCTACCAGGGGTAGGACATCTTCACATCTATGCCGCAACCATTTACTCTGCAACCTACGCAGTTACTAAAATACCTCATCTCCAGTGTTACCTCTTAGCGTTCTTACATTCTGCAGGCATTCTCAAATGGCTCCTGTGAACATCCTTCATTGCAATGCTGCACAGCATTAGCAAAATCTGTTCTACTGCTGACAAAATAATCTGAAGGACTCTAGAGAAAATTCCGGTGCTTCAAAGGTTTTCCTGACTGGAAATATAAATATTTTTAATGGTCATCTTTGCCATGCATAAACCAGCAATCATAGCTGCCACATCTCCACTATTTCATCTTCACCACTACGCACCTTCTTACTCCAATTTTGCTTCTCTCACTTCATCAACTTTAAAGGCTCTTCCTCAAATAATAGGTTAGTAACAGCATATTACCATATGAAACAATATATGATTATAGTTTCTATGTTTAACTACATAAATAACAGAGCAAAAAAGTGCTTAAAATATTTGCATCCACTTTGATTTCAGCCAGTAAAATCAAACTGTCCTCTAAATTTTTGAATAATACTGAATATGTACTTTCTCTCATTTGTTTATTACCAAGAACTCTAGATAATTATATTATTTTTTCCCTGCCTGTAGTCTACAAGTCAATAGGCAAATATGCCTCCACTCAAATGGAAATTATCAACAGTTAACATGATTTTTCACTTGTCGTTCTATTACACGGCACTCTGTTACTACCTATTACACTAGAACTGTAAGCACAATTTTTAAGAAATTAGTTCAAGCATAGATAATCTTCTCTAAAAACAATAGTGTTTTAAAAGTTGGGTGGGTTCTTTTTTTTTGAAAGTTAAAAAAAAAAAAGCTGAATAGAAAAATAACTGCCCGTAAAGCAACAACTTAAAGTATCTGAGAGCTGCTAGTTCTGCTAAGTAAACCAGAGGAAACCAAAACTTCATTTAAAAAAAATATAGATGTTTTTTTGTCTAAATATAAAATTGAAAGCAGAAACTGTGTGTAAGACCTTGACATCCCCAAGAAGCAGTTTTCTCTCCCCATGTGCACTAACAAATTTTAGCTTTTGCACAGTTCATTATAATGTTAAAAAAAAAGTTATTAAGTTGTGCCATGTATTTCCATTCCGTTAGAAATTTATTTTCCCAACAACCCTAAAAAAATGCGTACAAGTACTAAAAACCAGTACAAGTAAAATCATTCCCTAATTTGGCTCCAGCTGAACACAGGAAGAATTTAGTCCAGTGAAGATCCTGCTTTGCTAGTACTGCTACACTGACTTGTATCTAACAGCCATATACCAGCCCTAAAAGTTAACTGCGTGATTCATCATATGAAGAAGAAAAAAAAAGTGAAAGCAGGTCTGCCTGGACAACTGTAGCTTTCTTTCTGTAAACTCTTGCAGTGTCCCTTAGGAATTGGCAGGGATTATATAAGTCTAGAACTTTTGAGAAACTGAATGAGAACTCCATAGACGAAAGTGTACTGAGAAAGAGTCTGCACCATCATCATTCTCTGATGCCTCAACATGTCCAGCACTCGTGGGATGTCCAGCATCTGGAGGGGAAAAGAAAAAAAAAGCCATTACAACTGAGCAAGGAGAGTCGCTGGTACTTTCTCAGCAGGAGATTCAGCACAGTACCAGTGATCTGGGGACAGAATGAACTGCTCTAATTTCACCTCTGACAATGCATTGCCCATACCTTCACTACAGACTTCACTGTACCACTGACCGTGTGCCTACCTCAACTTCCTCACCTGTGAAATATTTGTCTATTTCTGGGATATGTGGATCCTCAAAAATCTGTTGGCTGCAAAAGTTTGTCACAGTTATTAGGACAAATAAACAGATGAAACAATCACTTTGTTGAGTCTCAGATTGAACATAATGTTATTGCTAAATACTTTATAATTGTACTAATACAATTATAAATTATATTTATAATTCTGGCTAAAGGATGAGAAGACTAGGTTTTACTAATTAAGCTACCACTTTGTCCTCTGCTGAGACCCATACTACAAGTACTACTACACTTAGGAATAAAAATGTTAAATAAAAAGCACAGAGACCAGCTACAAAAGATTTTCTTTAATATTAACTATTAAAACTAAGGCATGAAGTAAAAGTGTTAAAGTCAGGGCAAAATCCTGAAACATGCCTAGTAGCCCAGGGCGTACCTTGTTCCACTGAGTGACTCAACATCCTACACAGTCAAGAATCCAACTGTGCATTCCAATACCCAGTGTGTAAGTGGGAAACTAGAAGATTATTAACTTCTATTAAATTGCCAAAAGCACTTTCAACCATAACTGTAAAAACTTTTCCAAAGGCCATTCCTTGGGAAAGATCAGATGAACAGCAATAATATTTATTAAACGGGTTATTTACTCTTTACTACCTAACACTATCAAAAATTAGAAAGAAAAATAGATCACCTCATTGTGTTCCAAGCAAGCTATCATGATCTCTGACAATATGACCACTCCTGTTCGTCCCACACCTGCACTGCAATGCACCAGCACAGGAGGATTAGAGTTTTTAGGATCTGCAGTGCTGTTTGTATGGCGCCGCACTGACTGTATCTCTTCCAAGTATGCTATTAAGTTGAACAAAATGAGAATAAGTTCAGGAGATAAAGTTACACAAGCAATGTTGTTAGACTGAACGACCATCAGAAGTAGTAATTTAGCAAATGACATCCCACAGAAAAAAATCACATATCACATAAATCATAAGTCATAAACCAACTAGAGCAATACAGATCTACAACAATCATCCAACTTCTGTAAAGTTTTCCTTGTTCCTCTGTTCCCCACTAAAACCAGCTTATTGGCACATATTCAAATGTGTCATACTTGCTATAGTTATGCTTTAACCTATATGACTTCTTACTAAATTATATATCTAGGTTTTCACTTAAATGGTCACTTTAACAAAATGGCAGAAATATTCCTGCCAGAAATATAATTCAACACCTCTTACTGGATCAAATATATCTTTTGCAGTAGCATGCTTGGTATAATTTCACAAGTTAATTCCTGCTTAGCAGACATCTTAGGTGATTTAAAAAAAAAAAAAAAAAAAAAGAAAGGAGAAAAGGAGAAATGAAAGAAAGCCATTAAATACAACTTACAGAGAAATCCCTTTAAATCCTCTGGACAGCCATGTTCTGGCCAGTCAGTATACTGCAAATGCCAAACTGTTCTCTCCTGTCCTGTGAGAAGATGTTTAATCTTCAGTCCCGTAGTTGCATAGCAGCCTGAGTCAGTACGGAATCGTGTGGTTATCTTAAATCTTCCATATGTTACAGTGTTGTGTCTTGAGCCAAGACGTGGCCAGTATCTGAAGCTTTTTTCTCTCCCACTTTCCTTAAGAGTAAAACATTCGCTTAAAAGAGATGCGAAGACACTTATAACAACTAGTGTTCTTGTAACAATTGTATTTCTTTTCTGTTAAGCGCTACTACAATGTTTTGTTTTTTCACTAAATAAACCAGTCTTCCATGGGAAAGAGCTTGCAAATTTAGATTTTTCTAAATTGCCAAGGAAAGCAATACAGAGGGGTCATCAGAGAATTATCTTTGACTGGTCTGCTTATTGAAGCAAGTTGAAGCAAAGAGCCCCTTCTTTTAACAAATCAGAACAAAACTGCATGAAGTTCAGGGGTAGATCTGACCTGGTTTATACTTACTTCCTCCGCTGTCACCATAGCTATGATGGCAATCCCTTGTTCCCAGATCATCTGCCAAAAATCCTGACAGGTATTCTGCAAAGGGCCCTGTGTAGCAATGTAATCCCACTCTATGCCACCAACAGAGATCTGTAAAAAGAAATAGATTAGATTACTAATTATTTAAAATCTTTTCCTCATTTTCTTAGCCATTTTAAGATCCACAAACTCAAAAAGATAGCAAAAAATAGGCACTCTGATTTATATCTGCCTCTTTAGTTTAGGGCATCAGAATATTATGGAAGAGCAGAATTCCTTCTATCTTCATTTGTTCCTCTAACCATTAAAGGAAACTTAAGCAAGGACCCAGACTACTGCCTGTTGTGGATCTAGCCTGAAGGTACAGAAAATGAGGAAATAATTATTGTCACTGGACTTGAAAAAATGTTTTAATCATTGCAAGGAATCCCAATTCGTTTAAAAGCTATCTGCCTTCATAACTATGGAAGAATGGACATATCTTCTGTTGGTATCAATCAGGAGAGATGTGGAAGAGATAGGAGAGAGACGATCAATATAGAAGACCTCTTCAACACAGAAGTGAATACAAAGACCTCTCCAATAATTAACCCTCTACTATTCTTCCAGACAGTGGGGATAAACAGTTTTCATCTTTCCCACAAAAACAAGTATAGAGGGAGGGAGGAAAACATTACTCCAACATCATTTCTCTCACCTTGATATGAGACGCATTGATGTAACCCGTGTTATTTTCTTTGGTTGGGACTAGTTCTACTCTGGTATCATCATAAGGGAGGACGTCCTGGAACCGGTTTCTCTCAGCATTTTCAGGAAGCCGAGCTATTGAGCACTCACCATCTATAAGCCTTTTCTTCTGAATGCGCTCATATTCAGTAAATACCATCCCCTGCTCTAACCGTTGTTCCAGAACTTTACACTAACAGAGAGGAAAAAAAAAAGATAACCATATGAAGCCACACTCTAAAATGAGTCTATTTTAATATGGAATTCCCCTTCTGTACAATTTTGTTACATTTTTCAAACTAATATTATTTTTACAAACGTACCAGAACAAATTAGAAGCAATTCTAACCAAAAGGACTTTTGTTCAAATGAGAAGTGCCTAAAAAATCTTGTTATAATTCACTGAATTGGTGGATAACACTGGTGAATAACAAAAACTGCTTTTTAGCTTCTCTAAAGGCAACTTAGTTGGGAAAACAAACACTTGGTTAAACCCAGTAATTATGCTGCACTACAAACTTCTCTGAGTATTTTTAAATGAGACACACTCATTTTTCATTCTTCTTGACAAAGCACATTGGTTTGATCATTTTTAAAATCTCATTTAACTGTGTTGCCCTCATCCCTTCCCTCCACCCCACCTCCCCCCCCCCCAAAAAAAGTCAAAATTGTCACTTAAGTCAAGAAAAACTCCACAGATTTAAAGCAAAATGCTTGCCTCAGTAAATGAGTTTATCTTTCCCCCTCAGAATTCCACATTTACTTAGACTGAAAACATTAAACATTGAAGACAGCAGTAAAGTCCTCTTACAACCTCCTGTAACTTAGGCATCAAACAAGGATTTTTTTTCTGTAGTACAATTCAATCTGATTTATTAAATTAGCCCACTGAAAGATTTATACTTTCAAAACCAAGTTCTTTCTAAATCATAAGACACTTCTGGAATTTCAGCATCTCTTTGCCAACAATAATTAGAGGACAAATATGTAAGATTTCAGCCAGAAAATTTCATCTATGTCACATGTCCCCAGCCTCTTTCAGCAACTGCTCTGTAGTATCAGATCAGAAAAGTATCTTGTATCAAATAACTTCAATGCCAAATGCTGCAGAGGATGATGTAAGACCTCCTTCATATGCAATTTACACATCGGTACGTTAACCGTCTAAACTCCTTTAATATTGTTAGGTCAAGTTTTCTAATTTAATCTGATAGTAACACTTAGCTGAGCAATAAAACAGGCACTGCATCAACTATAAAGTCTTCCTTTGTCTTCTAAAAATATCTGCAATCTGGACTTTCTTTTATGTCACATATCTGATTTGTACTGCTTCTTCAGTCATTCCAATTTTATGATAACTATTCTTCCTCTACATGACTATCTGAAGAGAACATGTAGAGATCTACATCTTCCTCATAACTTGACTTTACAGTTTCTTCTTCTCCCTCAATACTTTGGGCAAAAGTAGCTGGGTGGTGATTTGCCTGAAGTCAATTAACATTAACCCGAGAAGAGAGGATATCTATAAATAAGAGGAAATAACCAACATAGGTACTAAATGTAGACGTGTACTTTAATAATGTGATGTCAACTTTTGACCTCCCCTACTATCTTTAACAATTGCATATAGTTCAAAAAGCCATTTCAGCACAGGACAGCTGAATCTCACAGTCGAATTTCTCTCCTATAAATCTCAATCCAAGCCCTCAAACTACAAGACCAAATTTCTACTGTGTAACTTGCAACTAATCTTCTTGGCCTGTTCCTTAAAACTGCTACTAGTCAGAATGTGACTGCCCCTTCAGGTTCTAATCCTGTTCAGTGATTGTAAACAAATGAAGGCAGATAGTGTTCTGCAGCTGAGGATGTCCAACCATCATTAGATTCCAAGAGACCAATAGTCAGAGTATATACAATAATCACCACAGATCCTGGTGAATGTAGTTGCTCCCTGATCAAATGTGTGATAACAGTACTGTTGCAAATAGCATTTCACAGACTGTTGATTGACTATATATCATACTTCCCTGCACTTATGTAACAATATACAAGGCAGGCTGAAGTACGTCTGTATGCTGGTTACCCTGGTACAAGTAGATGAAGTCTTACTTTCTCAAAGAATGATCCTCAGTTCTAAAACCTGTTGTTCTCCACTCAGCGATATGAAATTGTTTTGTGGTTTTAAAATTTCAGCAAATAAAATTTCAGCATCTATAGTTTCAGGAATCCATGTGAGGAAAACATGAATACAATCTCCACAAGCTTCTTAGGGATGTAATTTGACTACACAATTTACTGTAAAAATTACATACATTACTAATCATTACAATCAAGTTCAAGTTCAGAATTTTAAGTTTAATCTGTTTTCACTACTGGAAGTGACCAAAAAATTAAAGAGAAAACAGAAAGACTAGGCATAAAAATGTATCAGAAGATACTAATTGATTTCATGTGTTCAAAGGGTAAGACTTGGGTAAAATCACCATCATCTTTTACCTTAAAGAAAAACTTGAGTTACACCTAATACTTCTAGCAATGACTTCACAATCAAAGTCTCACTCTTCATTTTGTTTGTGTTCTCAGCGTTTGAGTTGCTCTGAATCGGAAGCACTTTGAAGTTGACACAAAGCACCATTCATATGCAATTGATTTTGAAAAACCACTCATGTAAATGACAAATCAAAGATTAAAAGATTCACCATACCCGTTCATCATTTGTTGCTCTTGTTGATTCCTCTTTCCCCTCATCTGGCAGAGGCATTCTAGCCAAAGTTAGTCCATTTAGGGCAGCAAGTTTTAGAGGCCCTATTTTTTTTGCATCAGTTTTATTCTTTTTCATGCCCTGAAAAGAAAAGCTAAAATTTACAAATATTTTTAAAAAGCAGATGAAGTTATGAAGCACAATCCAGATGAGTTCAGTTTAGCAAAGGATATTTCTTTGACCCCTTCTGCAAACAGCTCTGACTTTTTTTTTCATGATAAGCATTGCAGTGAGATTAGAGTGGTGGGACAACATTCCTCCAAGGACACAACACAAGTCTGTCTTCATTCCAGACAGGTTAATGAAACTGCATAAGAATGGCAAATACTGTTTCCTACAAAGCTCACAACTGAGGTTGTGAGGCAGCTACACTGGATAAATAACCTTGGACAGAACTGGAATCACTATCCAAGCACTAACCAACCAATAAATACATAAATAAAACCAAACTTTTGATAGACAATTTTCAGACACTTCTCTACAGATGATCGTAACAATGAGACTATAAGTTATTTAGATATAATAAAATGTTTGACTACCTCTGCAATAAAATGCACATACAAAATATGAACACAGAAGAACAGGCAGATCCGAGTCCTGAACTAGACTATGAATCTTATTTGAGAGAAATATCAACAGGAGATTCCAATGTAAGGATAAATTCAAAGTATTCTTTTAGAAAGCATAAGTGAGAAAACTACCATTCCTTCAGTTGCTCAGTTTAGCTCTTAAAACAAACAAACAAACAAACAAACAAACAAAAAAACAAAAAACCACTGCACTGAAAATATGAGCAAATATTCTGCTTGAATGGTTTCAATGTTTCCAAAAGCTAGAATAAGATGACAACGTTAAAAGGTTGAGACTGTTTTTAAAAGTGAACATAAACACAGCAGTAGCACGTAATTGGAAAGTGAAAAAGCAAAATGCAAAAGGAGTTGCAGGGACAGCTTTTGTTTCAAGGCAGTTCATCTTAATATATGATTAAAACCACAATTCTCTATTCTGCAATAGAAATCTTAAATATTACTAACCTAGAAAGTATTTCACTGGAAGCGCTCAGCAAATAAGTTTTAATATCAACTTCATTTCAAAAAGTTGATTTAAATATTTACTTGGCTATCACAAAGAAAAGGCAAGGTATGATTTTGGTAGACCCATCAACATCTGAAAACATGTCTTTCAAAGAAAAAAAAATGCAAAGTGAGTCTTTCTACATATGAATATAAAGAGAAAGCTATCACCTCTTTTCTATATCCACCTAACATATAAGGCAGGAAATTTAGGAAAACAATTTTTAAATAAATTGAAATTTATACAACTTAATTGTGTTCAGTTCTACATGTAAGAAGTCCCACATAAAAAGTTGAGCGCACAGCAATAATTTAAATACATAGTTTACTTCAGGTTAGCTTTTGTAGTATCAGCTGTAAGTGTTACTGCACAGCAGCAGAAGTTGTACAGCACTTCCACTGCAGACCAGTTTGTGCAGAAAACTATTTGACACAAACTCAGGGAGGCAAAGTTAGCAGGAATCAATGGGGAAAAAAAAGCAAAAAAAAAATTATAAAAATGTATTCCTCCATTAACATGTGAAATATGCCAGGAACTAATAAAACCAAACAGAGTGAGCAATAAAGAGTGCAAGTGAAATCATACAGTCCCGAGCAGACTTCGATGCTTCTATGTAGAGGGGATTGTAGGAAATGGGAAAATCGCAGTTGTTCAATTGATTTCTTTTTATGGCTTTTAAGATTGGAATAGGAGAAAGGGGCACAGAAAGAAATAACTTCAGTGAGATAAAAACAGCTGGAAGGCAAGGCAAAAGGAGAAGGATATGAAAAGAGGAAGGTATGGAGGAAAGAAAAGAAGAGAACACAAGCAAAGAATTTATTGCCTGATGTGTCAGGTTATCCTCCTAGGTCAGAATAAGAAGATAAAGGAATTAAAAAGTTAAACATTCAGCTATATCTGATTTTTCAGTGAGGGACGTTCTAATATTAGAAAGTTGATAGTGGAACAGACACATCTGGTTCTATTCCAGATAAGGATAGGGAGGCTAGAATTTGGGATCTAGAACTAAAAACTAGTTGCTAACTAGGTTAGCTATGTCAGATGGATGAAGGCTGCAGAGTTGGATTTGTGTGGGAGGGCTACACAAACAAAGCTCAGACACAGCAGAGAGTATAAGTAAACAAAGTTAATGAGAGAAAAATAGAAGAATAAAGATAAAGCTTAAAGTAACTTTCAATTCATATGTTTTAAAAACATAGGTTGATTTAAAAACAAACAAACAAAAACACTTAGAAACCCCACATAACTCTGGCCACAGAACATCCTGAAACAACATAAAACAAGAAATAATATCCACTTACACCTAGTGGGGGAAGGCCTTCCACAATATTCTTCTTCCCAGACAAAAGATCGGACACAGGTCTCTTCTTTACTGAATCCTTCCTTACTCTGTATCTCCCTGATGTTGTAAGGTCAGATTCTGACATAGATGGAGTAAGCAGTCCTTCCCCTCTTCTCTGTACTTGGTTTTCTACTAGTAAATGAACTGGACTTACATCTTTCATTCTCTTTTCCGTTTCTGAAATATGTAATTTAGGCTCAAGAATATGCAAAGGGCCAGTAGATGAAGCAACTGAGCTATAGGGGTAGTTGAGTACAGAATCATGAGAATAGCCACCCATAATGGATGAAAGCTGGGTTTGATCTTCAGGAAGAGGAGAGAGGCTAGTACTAGCTTTGTTTTCTTCAAATTCTTCTTCTTCCTCACTACTGTGAATCAGCATAGTGGCATCTGAAAGGGTTTTCTTGTGATCACAGTTCACACCTTCATCATGCTCATTTTCTTTTTGCTTTGTTCTCTCTATCAGAATGTTGGGCTGTGACCCTTCCGAAATAACTCTTGGAAGAGCCACATCTGCTGCAGATGCTGACATGGTCCTCTCTTTTATTCTTATTCCTTCAAAGCTGGGAGTCAAGCCTGCAATTTCAATACTGTTCCTTTTCTGCAGCTGAGCATGGCGCGCCGATGTTAGAGGTTCACTGACTTCCTGTAGAGAATGTGCCACAGGCAGGCTGTCTTCCTGAAATGTCTGGACAGAATGATGAACTCGCCTCGTGATTAGATCTGGGTTGCTGCTGCTAATGTAGATATGTCGAGAAAGGTCTGGAGTACTATTTGCAGGTCTTGGATATGGATATGGGGGAGGTGGTCGATAGACTTGGGTCTTCATTATATTTGGTGCTGGATAATCCTGAGCCTGGAGCTGCACATTTGTCAATTCAGGCACACTGACTGCCCCAACAACTGGGCGTTTCTCAGCAGGATAGGGATAGGGGGATGGGCTATGAAAACTGTAGTTCAGGTTAAATGGATAATGGTTAGATTGTGGGGAAGTGAAGTGGGCATGTTCTCGTATTTCAGGTTGGCTGTAAACCAAGGCGTCAGGCCTGCTGTAAGCATATGTATTGCTGATGTTAAGATTTCTCATTGAATGACTCTGCCTATCTGTGTGTACCATTCCTCTATTGAGTTGTCTCATCACAGTTTCATAGTCTGGTGTGGGCCGATAAGATGGTGGGATTAGGGCACTATGTCTATGTGATGGAACATAATCAGTTCTGAGGACATCGCTCCCAGTAATGCTTGGGTTAGAGGACATGGGGGACGGCTGCAGGTAATGTTGTGGGTTGTTCAAGGAGTTTGTGCTATGTGCACTATAGACACTACCATTGCGGATTCGACCACTGTAGTCATGAGGGGCTCTATCCAAGCTAGTCTGAGAGTGATAGTAGTATCCATTCTGACTGCTCACAAAGAGGTTATCTGAAAGTAAAGTTTAAGAACAATCTTTATGTTCAAGACCTTGAACAACAAAGATATTCTCTATTAAGATGTAGCTAACTGATGTTTCAGACTTTCAAAATCTCAGTCATATTTCGTCATATGTTTTCAATTGGGAAGAGAAAAAACACAGCTTTTTTGGTGTTGTAGATACCTAAGGTATATTTACCAGAATAGATGATGCAAATTCCTACTGGAAAGCAATTACCTCTGTTTCATAAGAGCTTTCTTCAGTTTACAATAGGTTTGCTAAGTTTAAATTAAGTAAAATCCATATAAAAATTTAAACAGTTCTGACTGAAGGAACAAACATCTACACCTAGGTTTGCAGTAGCCTAATGAGATCAGTTTAAATAGCAAGAAAAAACAAACACTCTCTCCTCATAACACTCTCAGGACATAGGTGGATAACAAGCACTTAAAAAAAAAAAATCAAATTAAATTTATCCAGAAAATTTGGATCCAGTTTAAACAAGAACCATTTTTGCACATTAATATGTGCAAAACCATGTTTGCACATTAATATTACCACTGATGGGTAAAGAAAGTTTCCTAGAAGTTTATAGACAATATACATATAGTACTCTAACAATTATTTCACTGGCTGTACAATTTGCCCAGCTGCAGGAGAAAAGAACTAAGTCATTGTTTTTAGATTTTTATGATATAACAGTTCAAGTTCTATGTATTATTGTATATGCAGAGTATGTATTCTATGTATTGTGCATACAAACATGAGGAGGAATGAATAGTGTTAGGACAAGAGCGAACGGTTTTGAACTAAGACAGGGGAGGTTTAGGAGGAAGTTTTTTCACACAGAGGGTGCTGATGCACTGGAACAGGTTGCCCAAGGAGATAATGGATGCTCCATCCCTGAAGGCATTCAAGGCCAGGCTGGATGTGGCTCTGGGCAGCCTGGTCTGGTTGTTGGTGACTCTGCACATAGCAGGGAGGGTTCAAATTAGATGATCATTGTGGTCCTTTTCAACTCAGGCCATTCTATGATTCTGTAAGTTCACCATTTCCATACTTATTTTAATGAAATTACCTACAACCAAAAACTCTTTTGTTTGTGAAAAAAATGTTCAAAAGTAGGATCTGTACTGTAGGAATTAAGAAGCCTTATAGCCTTCACTGCATCAAGCAATGATTCCAACACTGTACTGCAAACAATTCAGGTACATTCTGAATCTATATATAACTTTTGAGTACTTATACAACTATTTACATTGAAAATGTGCACATTTCCTTATAATGAGTTATTATGAGTCTTTTTTTATCTAGCTGAGTTACAGACTGAAAGGTCACTGTCAAAACTGAGTCAAATTGGCAAAAAATGAGATTAATCTCTCTAGGGCACAAACTTTGTTGAGTAAACACACTATGCGTAACCATCAAAAAAGCAGAGAAAACAGCCACGGCTCCAGAGTGAAACAGCTTAGGAGTGTGTATTTCTTGAGAATTCTATTTTTTCCTTTTTTTCCCCAAAGAAATGTTTCAAAGCCTTTTAATTCCAAACCCTGCAGTCTAGCAAAATCTGAGAGAAACTGCTTAAAAAGGGGATGCAGAAAGACAATTATTGTTCTTTCCTTCCCTTTTTTTTTTTCTTTTTTTTTTTTTTTTTTTAATTTTCTGGGGGACCTAGTTAGTCTTTGCAGTTAGTAAAATTGATGTTGACAAGAATCTCTGAATGCCATAATACACCAGCTTGTTAAATAAACCAGAAGACACAGTCAGATTCACACAAGGAATCATAATCAATAGTTGCTGTATCTGTCTACCATAACTACCTCTTATCTCACTTTTCACATCAGCATACATGTAGAGTAGCAGCAAACACATTGGTGACTGTTGCTTTACCAGCCTGTTTCATGTTTAGCTCTAGCCAAGTAGCTATAAACACAATTATAGCTTTTACCTTCAAAGTTAAGTAAGTATTGTGGCCTTAAACTTCATAAAATAAAAAGACTTCATAAAAATCACAAGATTTGCTGTTTTCTACCCTGTTTAAAATTATTTAAGCATTGGAAGTTTCCAAATCTGCTATGACTCACCTTGGGAAGATGCATATGGTTCAGTATAATGACCATTGTAATGCAGCTGAGGTGGTGGAGGCATCATATAAGCTTGAGGCTTGGGCTAAGTAAGAATTTTATCATTAGTTAAAGATCTCATTATTTACGTACACAGTCCTTGACAATTACACACACAGAGACTCTTAAACCATTTCTCTAAATCTGCAATTAAGTTTCTCTTTAGGAAAGATCGTAAAAGAATTATATATTAAAAAAATAACCACAGACTATATGTTGCCATCTGACATGCAGGATAGTCTCTAAGATTGAGTAAGCAAACTGGAAATGTTTTAAATTTTTTTTCACTTCTATCACTTTAATTCCATTAATCAGAAGTTACATAACAGCCTTTCAACAAGACAGAAACAGTTATCACATAATAGCTTCATCTTTCTCACTGCTTATTTTACTTCTCAGAAGGAAATTAACATCTGTTTCATAGTAAACTTAAATCTTTATAAGTGCAAAAATGTAGGTTGTTCCAAAAGCAATGCCTCCTTATTTATTTCAGTGGAAACTAAAACAGATACAAATCGCACAAGAATGCTATTTGATAGAGCAAGTTCTAAGCTGAAAAATACTATTTTTCAACATAGTCACCACCATTTGTTATGTATTTACACCAGTGATGAGCAAGAGCCTACATGCTGTGCTTAGAAAAATCTGCACCAGCAGAGGTGAAACATTACTGCTGCTGCCACTGCAGAAACGCACCACCTACAATCTCACTGTGCTCACATCCACCGTCTGGTATCCACCAGTGTTCAGCAAAAGTCAATAAATGTCAATGGGCACAAATTTTTCCACATGGAGGAATTCCACACCTTTATTTCATGTACACTTCCACATCATGCACCACTCCGTCAGACTTCCCCTCTGCTGCTATCTGCCACTCAGCAACAAAACGTAATGGAATACTGGTGGGAGGATTCAACCTGTACTGCCATACCACCAACATCCACTGCTGACACTGCGGGCCCACGTGATAAAATAGGAGGCATTACTTTCGGAGCAGCCCTTGTATAAAACTATTTTCTCTCCTTACCATAGACATCCTGGAAGAAGACCGCCTTCTAACAGGATTCACTGTAATGGGCTGTGTTTGTCTACAGAAGAAATCTTATGGTGAGAGAAGATTCTTACAACACCAAGATTTATTTCAAAACTTGGAAAGACCTCCCAAGGTCAGCTAAAATCACTCTGCACTTTTTGCAGCATTGTTAAGCAGTCCTTCCAACAGTCTCACAATGAAAGACCTCTGTGCATAAACCATCACTGCTATGAGCAAAATCACAAGATCAAAATGCCTCAGTTACTTCTTTGCACTTCTTTTATACAAAGCATAAAATGAAAATGGCCCTGAAGCTGAGCAGAAGGGTAAAAGGGAACTAGTTCCAAATCTGAACCCCATAGAAAATCTCACTGTAAGTAACTTCTTCTGCAAAACCATATATAACATTGCTTAAAAGGGGTCCTTGACATTTGCAGTGTTAGAGAAACCAGAAAGTATGACTATGCTGCATGAGAATTTATATGCTTTAACATTTTAGCTAACAATAATAACTTTTCATAATTTATTGGACTGCCTCCATGTTGGACTCTTAAAAAACCTTAAGCTCCTTTTTCCCCACCCTACACTGCACCAGTACTCCCGCAGCAAGACAGAGGTTAAAAAAAAAGGCAGAGTAATACAGATGCCAGATATTAGAAAGAAAAATGATTTTTCAGCTCACCCTTTGGGAAGTGAAGGACGAGAAAGGATTGGAAAGCGTGGAAGGGAAAGAATGAGTGAAGATTTCTGAGAGCCCTCCTCAGGTGGAGAGTCCAGGGAATCTCTAAATACAAGGTACATGCAGATAAAGAAAAGCAGTCTGAACTTCATACAGGCATGCGTAAGAGTTTTCAGCAGCAGCACCAGATGACAGGGAGTCACAGTATGGAGATAATTACAGTGTTTTTTATGACTTTTCCTATTTATAAAACCATATTGTGAAAGGGTCAAAAGTAAGCAATCCTAGAGACTGACATTCAATACAGAACTATATTATTCAAAATGCAATTCACAATTTCCAGAAACGCACCACTGCTACTAACACTTTTCAACTCTCTCAAATGGCAGCCAGCCTTACAAGCTTAGAGATATGAGAGCTATTTTATTGCAAATTAATCTTACTCTTCTAAAAAGAAGAATTAGAATTAACCATGCCACTGAATCATCCGTAGTACAAAATATTCTGTTAACTGTAGGGAATTTTAAATCAACACCTCCATAGATAGCTTTCTGTGGGTTATTTACTACGTCTATTTCTCTATTTCTGTCTGAAGTAACTTAACTAAAAGAAATCTGTACCAGTGGAAATGATTAGCTCAAATTCCAACCCTTGATTTACAAGTTGGAGACCAGCCCATTTAAATTTAATTTGATGAATTGTATTAAATTTACTTCATACTGGTGCTACTTGAGCTATACAGATTCCATGAATATCCAAAGGACCACATACCTCTCAGCTGTCAATCCAGCACATTTCAGGAGTGCTTCACATACACTTCCCGCCCTTTTAAAGGCCTTCAGAGTGTCCTTTCAGGGCAGTTCACCCAATCACAGGCCAAACCCAATCCCAGTGCTTCCAACAAACATTCTAGCAATAATAGCCTCCAAAGAAACTAGTCTGTCACAGCACTGAGATCCAGCACCACGGGTCAAATATTACTAGTTTTAGTAAGATTTTCAGTACTTAATATTGTCCTTCATTGTAAATCATACTAAAGTGCAAGTGTGAGAAACTGGTGATCTCAAAGATGATTAAGGAAAAAAATATGAGCCATATAAAGTATAATCTAAAAATGACACTACAGAAATTACAGAAGTTATAATAAATTTTGCTTTTCCAGGGGAACTTCAAGGGCACCAAGTATTCTGCTAAAGTATTCTACTTACAAGCTGCATTTATTTAGTCTGTAAAATTTGTGTCTAGCCACACACATCCTCCACACATATTTTGCTGTTTCCATATCTTCCTGCCAAAAAACAAAACCAAAATTTGCTCATTAGTCAAAATACGCATATTCATCACTTACCCTCATAGAAGTCACTGAAAGACTAAATTGCTATTAAGTGATTTTAAAAAGTGAAAAAAGTAAAAATAAAAAAATCCACTCACCGTTTGGAATTGGATTGTCTCTTCTTTGTTTGCAAGTTCTAATGCAAAAAAGGATTTGTTGTGGGACATGTTGGCAATGTCATGCCACCTATAGACAAAAGGAACAGAACATGACTGGTGAGTTATGTTTTTCAAACCACAGAAAATACAACTTAATTACAGAGACCATGTCTACAATTTAACTAGCAAAACATTAAGTAACACTAGCAAAACATTAAGTAACAGTCTAACTTAAAAAAAAATGTATGAATTCCAAACACTGATGCAAAATTTACCATTCAACTCTCATATATTTTATATAAAAATATGAGAGATTATTGGATAGTTGTACATGTGAATATTGCTAAGTAAACTTACGTGCATATCTTAGGACATTATATGTTATGTGCACAGATGTTTCTTTTTGACTCAAGAAATGTTTCACAATTAAATGTATATTACATGTTCATCTCTTAAAATTAATTCAGCTTAAAGGGATTAATTGTATAGCCAACAACCTCACTTCAGCCTTTCAGTATTTAAAGAGATAACAGCAGGGAGACCAACTTTTTACATGGTTTGATGGTGATAAGACCAAGAGGAATTGTTCTAAACTAGAAGGGGAGACTTAGTTCAGGTTTTTGGAGAAAATTATTTACTCAGAAGGTGGTGATGTATTCGAACAGGTTATTCAGAGACACTGTGGGTGCCCCATTCCTAGAGATGTACAAGGCCAAGTTGGAGGTGGCCCTGGGCAGCCTGAGCTGGTGGGAGGCAACCAACTCATCGCAGGAGGTTGGAACTGGGCAGTCTTTAAGGTCCTTCCCAACATAAGCCATTCTATGACTCCCTCAAAATTCACTATTTATTTAGCATAAGGACTAGAAGATAATGCTCAAGTTTATGAAACGAATAAGCACACATCATATCTAAGAGTCTTTCATGCTAGTGAGGTACACACACAAAATATTACGTGTAGGATATTATAAAGATATTTTAACACAGAACAATACTAACCTAAATACAACAGGAGGCCGGCTATTTTTGTGTTTCACAAAGATACCATCAAGACATGCTCCAATGAATATGTCACTTCCTTGGCTGTCCTGGAAAAAGTTGCAAAAAATCATGCATATACAGAAAAATACTTGGAAAGCAAAGTTGTATGAGTAACAAACAGTTTCAGAATTCAGAGGAGAGAGGAGGAGTAGTATGTGTTTTGCTTTGAGGATAGTAATGTTTATTTGCCTTTGTTTTTAACAGGAAGCAGCTATTTTTACATAGGGAAGAAAAGCAACTGAGACAAAAATTAAAGCCCCGTTTACCTTTGCAGGATAGGTCTCTTCACCATAGCCCTCCATTCTCTCCACTTCTTGCATATATAACATTTCTGCATCAGGAGGAGTAAGGCCTCTATAAAAGAAAACAGTGATCAGCTAATACAGTCAACAATATAAAAAATATATTTGTTTTACTCTGAATGACACCGTTAAATCTACAAGAACACCACCAAGACTATCAGGCACCCATCAAAACATACTGTTTCAATCTGTACCAACATCCGAAAACCTGCCTCCCGCCTTTATGCTGTGATTCTGGTTACTTCTTTGTCTTAGTCATCTCTACCAGAAATGTCAGCAAAGACCAGTTAAAATTACTGTCTCTGCTGATGGCACAAAATCATTACATCCCTCTTCAATCCATCACTGTCACCTTATTTTCTCACTTTATCATAAGAAGTATTCCAGCACACATGTTAATGACCTGAATTTCTCCTACTGCAGTATACAGATAAACATATGCAGTATACAAGGAACTACATTAAATTTGTTGAGAGAGTTATTTTCTAAATCTTAACAGAGTTTTAATTGTAATGGTTTGAAAACTTCAGCATGATAAAATTTGTAGTTAAGGTAGTATGCTTTTTTTTATGAAACCTGCTGTCAAAAACACTTTTTTCACTAATTTGCAATAGCATTACAGGGCTTAAAATCATGTGTTTCCCTAAATACTTCAGTTGTTCTCACAGAAGGCATTATCTCTACCTGAAAAATTTTGTCACGTTCATTCTTATGCCTCTTAATACCTTCTCAATCATAGTTTTCTTTATTCTTTCTCTTTGTCCTAATGTCATGCAGATCAGCCTTTCTCGCTAGACCTTATACGTTCCATTTTGTAATGAAAACATTTCAAAGCTAAATCAATTTGAAATTTTCAAACCTTCGCTTTAAAGTAATACAAAAAAAAAAAAAAAAAAAAAAAGCCAACCCACATTAGTATTATTATCATAGTCATAAACACATCTTGCTAATTTGACAACAGAGAAAGTAACTTTCCTTTGTCTTGGACCATCACATTTAGCAGCCTTAGATCACAAGCATTCTGGCCCAATGACCATCTTTACATTTCAACTGCCTGCAGAATTTGCCAGTATTGTTTATTCAGAGACATCTTTCTGGGGCCACAATTTCATGTTGTAAACAAGTTTCAGATTCTTTATCAGGTGAAGTCGCACTATTTACTGCTGCACCATATTAATCTTCTAGAAAAATCCTCTTGTTTAGGAGTCATTAGTTCAGTTTTTGTTTAGAAAAAAAAAATAAAATCAAACAACAACAAGACACAGCCATATCAGTGAAAAAACTCATTTAAATGAGACTAAATTAGTTCAACTTCCTTCTGAGATTCTCAACTCCCTGAGCTACTGAAGTAGTCACATCAAAATTGTGCAATAAAGAGCTTTAGAATCGTTACCTGTATTTCTGATGTAGTAAGGCAACTTTCTGTGTCGCTTCTTCCAATATTTTTTCTTCCTGTAGCCAACCCTTCAGGTAAGATAGCATTTATAAAATGAACTACAAAACATTCTATGAAATAAAATGGCTATAATGTCTTTACACAGAGAAATCAACCCTCCACACTAATTTTGAAGCTTAGACTCTGTATAACAAAGCCAAAAAGTACAAACAGTTTTGAAGTGTTTTACTTGCTTTCTTGTCTCTACCCTCATAACCTTTTAAATACAATATAACTGAAAAGATCTTGCAATATCTTTGCTTCTGTGTAATATCTCACCACGTTCTCAGAAAATCTTTACTGAATTTGACAATCTTGGGAGCAGCAAGCTGAATAAATACAAATCATTACTAAAGATCATGATTTATCAGTCTCACATTTGGCTTCAGCACACTGAAGAGCTACTTACAACACAGTTTGCTTGTGATCAGTAACACAAAAAAAGAACTTAAAGAAATTACTTACCACAGGAAACAAAGCAAATCTTTGTAGAAAATCCTGAGATTCATACTGATCGTAGTCTCCAAAATCAGCTAAAAAATAAAAGTTGCATTCAAACATTTATAACAAAATTATTTGATACCCCATCAATTGCAGAAGGATCCTCAAATAGCAAATCTTCATATTACTGAACTATGATCTAAAACAACGCACTAACCAGTAATGTTTATGAAGAGAAAAATAAAAACAGATTCCATGTTCTTATCTTCAGAAAAATTGGTCAGATTGCTTGTGGATAGAAGGGGAGAAGAAATGATAAAACAAGCAGAACTCTGCTCCAAGTTCCTCAGGCTTTTATTTGCGCAGTTTTTAATCACAGTGGAGGACAGAAGGCACCTCTGGAGACTAGTGTTCTCTCCTGCCCTAGCAGGTCAGCTACAGCAGATTGTCTCAGGGCCTCCCCCAGTCGTGTTCTGAATACAGATTTCTGTGCAATCTGTTCCGGTGTTTCACCTTTCTCACAACAAAAAATTTATAAGATATCCCAACTTGTGCCCATTGCCTTTTATTCTGTCCCTGAGTCCCACTGAAAAGAGTGTGGCTTTGTCTTTACTTCCTCCTCTCTGATATGTACTTGCACACAACCACACTGTCAGCATTGAGCTGATAGACTGTTCTCACTGCTGGATTCCGAGCAGCCAGAGCACCTTGGACTCTGCAGCTTCCAGCTTCTGTTCACAACTCGCTGCATGAAGACATCAAGAAAGTGGAAATCAGATGCCTTAATTTCCCTGATTCAAAGATATGCTCCAACAGAACTTAATAAAAATTGATTTTATGTCACACCAAAAAGCATCAAGAAGAATCTGCGTCTTTCTTCTTTCTAGGAAAGAAGTAGCCAACAGTTCAAAGAAATAAAACAGCCTAAATCAGAAATGTATGTATAATCTCACAAGATAAACTGTTCTAAGAAATATCAGCCTGCCCAGAACAGCCTCTCCAAACCACAGAAACATAATCTCCGCATCTTATTTACATTACACAGATTCTAACCTATAATAGTATAACTGCAGAGACATTTAGGAATCAAGTATTTATTATGCATTAGCAATTACTCTGCAAGTTACTCATGATTAAAGGGAAGAGCCTGTAACACACTAGACCAACCAAGTACTTGAGATAAAGCAGTGCTTAGAAGCAGCCTATTGTAAGTATTTCAAACACAAATCGTTCTTGAATTCACCGCACTCAAAACAGCAAACAACTGCTTCTGTTAGTTCACTAGCTAAAATTAACTGACCTACCTTCTATAAGCTACTTCAGTCATTGGAGTGCATTAATTTAGAACCTGCACTTTTTCTATGTTGTTTTTTCATCATGTTATCAACACATGTAGTTCTCACATAAAAGACTGAGAGAAGAATGTGAAAGCTACAAGGATAAATATTTTCCATCTGGAAAGAGGATTACATTGAAAGATATCTATAAACAACTTACAGAGCAGAGAAACTTTTATACTGTCTAAAGATATTAAAATAACAAAGCAAGATTTGGCCAGCTGAAGACCATTAAATCCTGGCTTAGATTAAACAGATACACTGTTACATAAACACTAACATTATTCATCTACACCACTGATACTATATTCTCAGAAAAACATGATCATAATCTTTAATGTGTTGTAGTCATTACACAATTTAAAAAAATTAAACAAAAAAAGAAAAAAAAATCTTGTGGCTGTATGCACTGATAGTGATATGCAGCTTTACAACTGTGTTAGATGTACTGGAGTGACATCCACAGAGAAGCCTTACATAGACACAATTTAAACAAAGCTACTACATTAAAAAACTGTTGACTTGAGAGATTTCACATCAAACAAACATGTTAGCAGGGAACACCAGACATGGTAACATTAATTAGGAAAACACTAATTAGGAAAAACAAAGTAACTATTTTCACATATGCACCTCAAAAATGCGTTTTCAGGAAAGATTTTAACATAGTACACAGACTGTTAAAAATTCCTAACTTTGGTGTTAGTATCTCCACCTCTTTTCCCAGATATCCTAGTACTGCTGTACATTCACATCTGCTTATTAAAGTACGTCCCTTTCTCATGTGACGATGTCAGAATAAAGAGTTTTCAGTAAGAGAAACAGATGAAGGCTCTGCTCACACAAGCATACAACTTGCTTCTGAGTACTCCGAAGGAATTCAAGTGTCTAGGTACCTAAGGTACACCTCAGAGGACTGCTCTGAAATACCAGTAAGTACTGGTATTCAGTATTCAGATCTCACTGTCTGTCCATTTCCCTCTCTCCCCCTCTTTTCCTTTCCCTCCCAATACAGTGGCTGACGAAGTTCTAAGGAGCAAGCCTTTCGCCTTTCATAACCTACTGAACTGAACTGAACCTTCACTGCATTTGTAGGGTTATCAACTGAAAACAAAAATGTGCTTCATAGAAATAAAATTTACACTGGAAAGCAACTACCTCTTGCAGATCTCTTATAGCATGAAGAGGGGTCGATAAGCAATAAACAGAAAGCATGCAACAGAAAATATATCAACAAACTTCCAATGCAACATTAGCGCAATTGCTTTACTTACCTTGAACTGCCAGACCAGCCAAATGTATTGCTTGTTCTAATGTGCAAGGAATGTTGCCCTCCAAGATATCTTTCTTTAATTGCAAATAATACTGATACCTATGTGAAGGAAAAAGAAAAAAATAAAAGGAACAGCTAAAATGGGCTCCTTATTCTCAAGAGACTGCACGTCCTCCCTCCATTCACTAGCATGTGGGGAGGACACTCATCATTCAGATCCCCTATATGGTCCTTACCAACTCTTTCTTCAACTTTCATTTATCTACCTCAGAATCAAATCCTGATCCCCTTGAAAGGCACAGAATTTTCACAGTTTCCATCTACAACCATAGCCTCATGATTTGTTTGTTCTTCCTCCTTAGTATTGCTGCTATCTCCACTAGCAAACCATCCAGCAGCACACTGTCCACTATGCTGCTGCAGCATTACTGCATTCCCTTCCAGTAAATCCAATATGCATATCCCTTCAATCATGACAGTTACTTTCATTTCTGCACAATTCCCAAATATAGTCTGTTCTCAGTTTGTTTTTTTTTTTCCATTAAACTGATCTTTTCCTGGATTATCTCTTGAACATGCAAACCCTTTAAGCTGTAACTGTGGATTGTGGTCCACAGTCCAAACCACTACTTTCTTGAATTCTTCTGACCCCATTCAGTCATCCATATCACACCCTACCTTAGCCAAGAAGCACATTTGTTTTCTTTGAGACCAATTTATAAAAAATTACTGACTTCCTCATATTGTACATTAACTGTTATGAAGTAAAGCTTTAACACTGAAAACAATGAAGCACGTGCTGCAATTCAGAAATAAAAAAAAAAGTCATGGAAACTTTTTGATAATCAGAAGTTAAAACACAGTTGTCTTCCTTCTCTGAACTGTTAAAATTCAGTGAGATTTCATAAATGTTGTTTAGACTTTTCCTGGATCCTATTACAAAAAAGCACTATGCCACATTACACCAGATAATATCCTTACAAAAAAGAATCAAAACTAACTGGGCCCAAACCAAGGCCCTTAAAAAAAGTGAAAGGAAAAAGCCACAGTATATCAAAGCAAGCTAGAGCAAATTCCTAAGATTGCTGACACATTATTTCTTTGCTTAGTTTATAAATTCTTTAAAACATTGAAAAGGAAAATAAATACATAGTTTTTATATTTTATATAAATGCTGCCTAAAACAACGATTTCTATTTCTATAAAGTCTAGGAAGGGAAAAGCAGGCAATCTGTACATGAGCTATGTATTTCAGGATGCTAAAAGTAAAGTTATCGACAAATTTATAAAGCTTACCTGGTAATCTCCTGCTGAAGTTGAGAAACAGTAGGCACATAGAACACTACTCCAAAATACACTGTTGGTTCCAAGGCATATTTGTCCAGCTGCTTTTTCAGAGGCTTGTCCAAATCTACCCATCTGCGCTGATTCTGCTTGTTGTAATACCACAGACTGAAATACGTTATCTGAAAGAAAATCATTTCAATGATGAAACAAATTAGATATTGCTATATTAGATAAAATACATTGTATGAAAGTCTTGCTACCTAGAAATAGAAGACTTAAGATCCTAAGACTAAGATTATTGAGAAGACAGAGAACTGGAGGGACATAATATTTTAATATCAAACCCAGTTATTACATCCAGATAAACAACTTACATATATAAGGGCTATCAAGTCTAGTTTTTATTTGCGAGCAGTCCCTGACTCAGTTGAGGCAATGCATTTAAATGTAACAAGAAAATTAAGAGAAGAGATAAATACAGATAGAATTGGACTACAGGACAGCAGAATACAGCTTGTCTTAGGAACCAGTGGGCAGGTTCACACAGGATGCTGAAGGACAAAAGGGCATAGGCCAAAAAATAGTCAAAAATTACCTCATCAAACGCATGTATGGTTTATTCCACTGAGCAAGAAAATGAGCAGCAATCTGCCTTGCTTGAGCAGGCAACTCTTGATCATACAAGAAAAATCCACAAAATTCCATATGCAGTGGAAGAAATTGCCCAAAGCAGCTGAGGGATGCCCATCCCTGGGATTTGACTGAACAACATTTTAAGTAACACAGTAAAACTTTGATTGGACATGATCTGCTTTGAAAAAAAAGTTGGACTAGACTATTTTTATGACTCCAAAACATTCAAATTTAAATCTCCCCAGTACATTTAAACTGATTAAAATCTTCTTCTCCCGTAGCACCTATTTCATTCTGTTCAGAATTATCAAGCAGACATGTACTGGAAAATAATAATGGCATTATCACAGAAAAACTAGAAATCATAATTAAATTTTCTTATTGTGGAAGGTAGGGAAGGCAAGGGAATGCAATGAAACACCGACTAAGTTGAGGACATTCACATGGAGATTTTCCAAGTCTTTGCTACACGTACATCATTATATGTTGAAATGGTAGAAATGCCAACACCTTTAATCTAGCACTTTTCTTTACATTATTATGTTTTCAGATGTTTTTAAATTGAGCAAAATAAAGCTAGTTAGGAAGGCATTTTACAAAATACAGGAATATTTATCATAATACGTTCTTTTCAATAATTTTCCTGAATTAAACCTGGAAAAATTCTCCACTTTTCAAGGAAAATATTTATTATTTTCTCAGAAGCTATCATTTTGATGTTTTAGAGCACAAATTTAAAATTTACTGGGGAATGAGAGCTGGTAGTACCAAATCTGTGTTTTAGTAATTTCCTGTGAAAACAAGCATATTTGAAAAATCACATAGAAATCCATCTTCTTAATTTAAAATCTAAATGAGGTGAAGGATCCAGCATCATGGTATTCACTCCATTCCTTACAGCTCCAACACATGCACACAACCACAGCATGGCTCCATATCAGAATGCAGGGAGAGCAATGAAGTCAATTCTCTGTACCGACGCAGAACATTAAGCAATTTTGGACACCAAAGTCAAGATACAGCATTACGTTCACAGTATCATATATTCTGTAAAAGCACAGTCACCGGCAGTAACTGTGAAATTAGAGCTGTTTTTAAGGCATAATGCCATCCTTCCACATTTAGCAAATACTTCTAAAATCTACTGGCTTACTTATATGTACTTCTCTGCCCCTCTCTAAATTAGCATCAATGCATTTTTAGTGATTTTTGTTTTCTCAGTGCTTAAAAACAAACTAAATTAACGTGATTAATCCAGGCAATTACAGAATCAGTATGCAGAAGATAGAACATGCTAGAATACAGGCTGTCCTGTATTCTGTCTTCTAACACAACTCTAGTTCCATTTGATATAAAACACAGGCTATACTACAAACACTAAATTAAATTAGAACTGTTTGTAGACACAAAAAAAAATTCTCAGGTGGACACTGAGTGCTCTTCACTTCAGAATTCTAAAAATAAAGCATGAAATTTAAGAAGTCAAACACTTCTATTTTCAAGGAGAAAAAAGTGGCTCTGATCACAAACAATATAAAAAAAATACTATATTCTAAATTTCTCAGTTCAAGTACATCAGATTGGCTGATGTCGGAAAAAATATTGGCTTTTGATCCTGTGTTTCAATTTGTCAATCCCTACCATCCAGTGCATGGTGGCCCCTGTCACCTCACAGCTTAAGATTCTTTAAGATATTAAGAATTTTAACAACAGTGCCACAGGTTCTCCATGAAGAAGAAATATTATATCCACTGCAACATCTCACACTGTAAAAGGAAAAAAAAAAAAAAAAAGGATAAAAATTATCCCTCACAATCCGTTCTGTGCTCTGAAGGAGGAAAGGAAGACCCCTGTGCTGGCCCAGCTGGCTGGCTCGTGGCTAGCCACACCATGCAGGCTGAGAGCACAGCCTGGAGAGCATCAACAGCAGCCGCTGGACGCAAGCTGAACCCTAGAAGAAACCAAAAGCTACAGGTAAAAAGGCCTGCAGAAGCACACCATCAAAGCTGAAAGACTTCTGGAGAGGGTATCACATAAACGCTTCTGGAAACCAGACAAACATTTATAAGCAACACTTTGAATAAGTTTCAGCTGCAGCTTTGGTGTACATAAGCTTCAAACAAACACAGATTTGTAACAGAAAGTGGAGAATGAACTGAAATGTCTGGTAACAGTACCACTGTTCTGTACTCACTGAATGCAGATACTCCTGATTCTACAACAAGGATAAACTGAATGTACAACCTTTTTTTTTAGCCACGATGATTTCTTGTGCTTGTCCATTTCCATACCACACAGACCACTTTTCCTTACCATGCACAGAAACGAGATATTACTGGCACAAGACTAAGAAAAATGTTTCTGTTTTTTAAAATATACTCTGGAATCCAGAATATACTTTATTAAGATTTTTCTGTCACGTTATTTTCCCTTAAAATCTCCTCCAAACTGGATTATCAAAAGTAACTAAAATACAAGCCAAGGTAAATGCTATGGGCCAAAACCCACCTTCTGACTTCTATGCAATCCTTTCACTTGACTGCAAGGGCAGAATCTGGCTCTGTTAAATTTCAGAGGAGTTTATGTGCCCTGGAATATTTTCACTGATTAAAATAGAATCCATTTTATTCATTATAGGAGTTTTTATTATTAGTAGCATAGGACAGCACCCAATTCTAAAAAGAATGTAATGACATAACTCCTAAAATATGTTAAGCTGTTAAGATTAACACTATTTGAGGTTCATTTATTTTAGTGACTTATTCATCACCCAATCCCTTTGAAGAAAGTCAAATATAAATAAAAGAACTTTAACACTTCTGCAGTTGCTTTCAACCTAGCTACTTCCTGCCGCTACAGACAGAAACATGAAGTATTTTTATACAAAAGTTGAAGAACGCAAAGAAAAGCCCAATATAATCTTACAGCCAACAAGGCCCATCGGTTTGTGGGAAAGAGAGGTAGCACCCACACCGGTATCTGCAGTCAGTGAGTCCTTACAAGCTAAGCAGAGGAGCTCTGTCAGGTTACGTGTGCCACAAAACTACATCACTATTATATCTTCTTGCATGATGTCCCATGACAGCCTGAGAAACAGGGTTGATCAGTCAATAGGAAAAGACTCATGAAAAATCTTACTGTTGTTTTCTCTTACTTAATGGCAGGGTATAGGGAAGACAGAGCCAAATTATTCTTCCAAAGGAGACTTCCAGTGAGAATCGTTGGAGGGATGAGAAATAGTGAGTGCAAGCTGCAATGTGGTAAACTCAAATCAGATTAGGAAAAAAAATTCACAATGAGATTTGTCAAACACTGGAAGGGGTTTCCCAAAGAGGCATCAAGTCTCCATTCTCAGATTTCCTTTCAAATTGAATCAATGACAAAGTCCTTCTACCCTGTACCTGATATTAATTGGCTATAATTAGCAGCCATATTTCATTTTATTTTTATTAAAATGAACCTGTCTCATCCCTAACATAATTCCACTTTGTTTGGCTCTACTTTAAATATAATTTATACATATCAGTTATTCTGACTAGCACTACACACAGAAGAACATCTTTAATAAAGAATCTCAGGGTCTACTTTGGTCACAATTTACACTATCTAGAAAAGGAATCGGACTGACAAATGTGTATGTCAGACATCAAGTGTGTAATAGTGTAATAGTCTCTCCTAAAAGCAGCTGTTCTGCCATCTCCAAACTAGATTGTGCTTTTCTGTTCTAAACAGTATAACACATCAGAAAAATTTTATTTCCTAAGATTCTGAGACAACACTATTACTGCTGTCTTTTACAAAATTATTCTCTATAGATCCACAGATAAAGAAAAAAAAAATAAAAAAAACCCAATTTCTACGGGTGCCTTTCTGTCTTTATATTGGCATGTATGAATACAACACTCCATAAGGCTTTCTTGAAGAGAATGCTGAAAACACTGTCTCATCATAAGAGAATGCTGAAAACACTCATCATAAGCTCTGCAGCCAAACTAAGATCCTAGCTAGCTCAGGGACTCCACTGAGACTCCACTGAGTCTCACTTTATCTTACACTTGGATACAAAACAGCCCCTGCCATCAGAATACAACTGTTAAAATAAACTGCTTTCAGAACTGGCTCAATAATCTCGTACTATGCACAACTGCCAGATACAAGCAAAAGCTTTACTCTATGTCCAACATCAAGAACTACAGAAGGAGACAAAAGGCACTAAAAATTCTCCAGAAACTTTCTTCTTATCACAGCAGACATCCCCCTCCACAAATCTTCCCAGTGGAGAAACCCGGACTGGTTTTGGAGCAGCCTGGACTGGCCAGGGTACAAGATGCAGAAGTGGTGGAAAAAAAAAAAATCTCTAAGTCTTGCCATGTATCTGCCACTGAACAGAAAGCTGCAGCCCTTGACATCCACCAGTGCTTTCAGTGCAAGGAGGAGGGCTGAGGAGACTCATAGAAATCCCCTCTTTTTTTTTCCCCCATTTGATGCCACTCACTTTAGGGCACTTTGGCTTTCTTGACTATTTTTGTTCTAGCACAGACAAGGTTTTCAACTGCAGCTACCTGTAGGGAGGATGTAGCAAGGTACAAAAAGAATTCAGAAAGAAGCCAAGCTTAACTCTTTCACACAGTAAACATTTTTTTTCCTACACAGTCTACTGCCAAATCCCCCGCAATGATTTTCTCCCGACTGCATCAATATCATTCTCACAAATCCTACCTAAACAAAGCAGTTGCCAATTACAGCTTAAATCAATATTGCAGGGATTTTTCAAGAAATTTAAGAATCGTAGTTTTAAAAAACAATATTTTGCAAGGTAATCTAACATTCTAATTCAGATTAAAGCACTGCAAGAATGGTGGTATATGAATAAATGGGATTTCCTCTGAGGGACAAGGCAGATTTAACATATCAGAACGTTATACAAAATTAAATTGGCTTATCTACAAGATAAAAAGCAATACTTTTACAGCACATAAAAGATGTTATGTCCCATCAAGACACATTTTAATCTATTGCAGAAACAGGTCAGCTATTGGTGACCTGTTTTTCTTCTGTAAATTGTGCTACTTTTCCCACCTCTGTTCAAGACTCCAAGAAGGATAAACTTGCATACTTGCTTCTGACTCTCACCTTATAAAGCACCAACATTAAAGGAAGTATTACATTTGCAATTATTGGATTCCGAAATTCTGATCATTTTACAGTGTCAAAGTAGCCTAAAAATACAAAACAATAAGCTAACATACCTGCTTCAGAACTAATGAAAATCTGTTAAAACTAGTATAAAATTAGTACAATACTATATCACAACTCACAGGTATTGTGACAGTGAAAGAATACAATCAAGTGGTACAATCAAATTCTGACTGAACTTTATTAAAAACTAGAGAAATCAGGGCAGCTTTACCTAACTGCCACCTAAGCTGTCATGGAAAAATCTTAATTTTGTGTTGCTCAGTGTAATAAGCAAGATGGAGAGTAAAACTTACCCCAGAGCATACTGCTGTTTTCCTTCAGAAAAAAAATCCGTGACAGTAATTATACCTAAGGCAATTGCTGATTTTTAAAATGCTCTGTCCTTCCGTGTATCTGGACACATGAATTATTATTTCAGCACATTTAAAATTAATGCACGATGCAGTCAATATTGTTTTTCAAGAGAGTGGCATTTTGAATAACACAACACACTGAAGGTCTTTCTATGCATTCCTCCATGATTTCTCTCCCGTTCCGAAAGCTAAGCAAAACTTCATTCAGAGAGGCAGCCATTAATAGTTCAACAACCAGCACTTTTTTATTTCTTAAGTATTAGTCAATATTTTTTAAAAATTTGATATGAGGCATAAGCATAATTATGTTAGCAACTCCTCTGTCATTGCTTAGCCCAACTTTTATCTGCTGATCAGTATGCTTACTAATACATACACATGCAAGAGAGCTTATGGTTGACTTGGTCTTATTTTCAAAACATTGTTTACCTATGTAAAAAAAAAAAAAACAAAAACACCACACTAAATTAAAAGTATTTTCATGCATTTTCTCAAAACAAGAGGTGATCCTTTGGACTTCAGAACAAAGTTTTAGAAAACACTAAAGCACTGTTTCAGAATTTCCAAGTTATTCAAAGTTTGGATAACTTTGATTCATTCTTTCCCATTACGTCCAAAACAAACACAGGAATTCACATGTACACCACACATACTTTACACAGCAGCTCTTTATTTTTTTAACATGAGTCAGTATTGCACTTGTGTACCACACATTTGCACTGAAGTCAGATTCTGTTTGCACACATTAGCAGAATTTGGCCATTTATTCCGGCATTAAACTGTTATTACAAAACAAAATTAAAAGATTCAGCAAGAGACTAAATCAGTTGTAACATCTCTTGCCAAATATCCTATAAATATCTAACTGTAGTAGATACAAACATCTTCATATTCTCAAGTACCTAATTTGTATGCTTGTGTCCAAAATGCAACACATGCAGCATTAAACATTCTTTTCTAGTTAGTTAATAATCAGAGCTCTCAACACTTTTTCACAACTTGCAACTTGAAAACGGTTTTCCAGAACAAATACAGCTCTTCCTTTGACTACAGTGAAATAATAGTTTGAGTATAGTCCTCTCAAGGGACAAAAGACAAACTATTCCTCAGTTTAATGCACTCACTTCACTTTTTTTGCAAGGCTTGCCACTCAGTAACAAAATTAAACTGTCCAAGTACTTAGACTTTCTGAATCCTAAATTTGTGTCCATACAACTTGAAAATGAGATAAATTGGAAAAAAAAATTAAAAAGTAAATTAGTGTTAAGCCACACATTACATAATCTGAGGACTACTATTCAAGTATGATCTGTTAAAACAAATATATTAAAAGATGGTACAGCACTAATAAACCAGTAAATTCACTACCTAAATTCACTCACTACAAATTACACCAAGATAAATTTTATCAGTGTGTAAATAGGTCAAGATTCCGCTCATAACTCCTGCAACTAATTATTCTGAGGCAGTACAGCAAAACTTCATAGCCCATATACAGTAATCTGATGCTCATGCCTCCACTTTCATATCTGATGTAAATTTCAGTGCTTAAATAGTCATACTTTCTTGTTTAACACTTTCAATTCACACTACAAAGGGTGTGTTGTGCATTAAAAATATGAGTTCTTAGAGAATGTACTTAGTATTCCACAGTATCAAGGATTAATACTGGTTTTGCAGATTGAAGCAAATGCTCAGCAATCTTCCTGAAAACTTCATACTAAGAAAATAGTCAGAAATGAACCCTATATCTGCTTGGCAAATCCTACTGTTTAAAAGTAAAACAACATTTTTTGAACGCAAGCTCTGGAAAGTAATTTATATCCCTACTTTCCATTCCCTTTTATTGCAACACATTTTCCTGCCAAAATAATCCATGCAAGAATGCATGACCAAAAGAATCTGTTCTGAGTTCAGTAGCATGCTGTCAACTCCCCTAGTCTGATATATGACTCTTAATTGAGGGAATTGCCAGCCTTTTTTTAAAAACAACAACAACAACAAACAGATTTTAGGAGTAGTTCCAGTGAAAGAGATAACAAATTGCTGAAAAGAAAAAACAACCAACCACGCATCTCTGACGCCTTGTAAATAGATAAATAAAAGCCAATGGTCATAATTCCGAAACACAAAGCCTTTGCATTTTGCAAATCAAACATAGTTAAATTCTTTACCTTCTGTTGACTAAGCAGTGACATCTGAGGGTGCATAAACTGACAAACTCCATTCAGTCACAACAATTGAATTCTAAATATATGACGCCTGATGTGTTCTAAGTAAATGCTAAAGCTATGAGAGTACTCAGATTTTCCCTTTTCTAGAAAGAGCAAGGAAAAAAAAAGCCATAGCACTCCACAGAATTGCACTTTTCCACAGCGATTGTACAGATTAAGAATATTTGGACAACGCAAAAAGCATACTGGGACAGAAAACATGAACAGTAAACAAACACAGATGAATGGATTCCCTGTCTTTTCATTTATTCTCTAAATGAGGGAAAAAAATATTTCTGAGAACAACTGACTGCATGGAGTATTTCCTACTGATAAATTCTACACCTACGTGTGCTAATTCTGTTATTATTCTGTTATTATTCTGTTTGCAGAATAATCACCATATGCATGGGAGAAGAGTTCGATTTCAGTTGAAAAAGTGTATTTTAAAATACGTAGCAAAAAACTGGGGAGTGAAGGGGAAGATGTTATACAGCTCAGCTAGTGTATACCATATTTCTCCATAAGGCCAGACATTGATCTAAATGACTATATGCTTGCTCAAAGACACCATCTGCAAACAGGTTTGTGATTTGTGAACAAACACTAGAAATAGTCACCAGCACACATATCACATTTGTGCTTCGGGTTCTTTTTGCAGCACTGATCCACCAGAAATGAATGCACAAAAATAACATTCTCTTTCATGTCCTAATCTATTAGGATTTAAAATCTCATGTCTCTCAGCAATTCTTAGCCATGTTGTTTAGGCAGAAAGTGTGTGGTGAAGTGTGTGGTGGCATTTGTTTTTCTTTTCTTTTAAATGATATTTTCAGCATTGTTGAATTTAAAAATTTAATCACTGCTGTGACTTTGTTCATCTTCCTAAGCTTCTGTTCACTGCCACTTCTCACACGTTATTACCTTATGCATTCTCTTGTTCTGTAAGGTATGTTTTGCACCAGTTTTGGATCAATCCAATTCATCCTCAAGACCAGACTGTTTAGAAACAAGGGGCGCACACAGAACAGCTGTTCAGCTGCTGTTGTGACCAAGCTGCTTGCCCCAAATGGTTAAGGATTCACCACGAAGGTCATCTAGCACCAGAGACAAAGCCATACCTTAACTCGACAGTTCACTCACCTCCCGCAACTCAAGCCTCTGAGCCACTGCTTCCAGACTTTCCTGGCCTGTGCTTTCCACAGATAGTGTGAACTCCACAAATTCATTATTGAGTAGCTGGATCCGAGCCACCAAGCAACTCTTGCTGGATACTGTATAGCGTCGAGTTCGTTTCAATTTTAACCCAAAAGGCAGAGGCATCTTCTTTCCCACACCGATGGTTGGAGATAAAAAGCTACCACCACCAGGGACTTGAGAGAGAAAAAGCAGCAGTTTCCTCTCAAACAGTAAGGAGCTGTAAAGTCTCCAACAATCAACCACCAGCAGCAGTATCCATTAAAGGTAAGCAATTTTTCCACCAACACACAAGTAGGGGGGCATCCACTGGAATCCTAGCAAGAAGCAAAAGAGAAAGAAAAATATACATGAAGCAGAAACAATTTTCAGAGCTGTTATACATTCAAATACTCAAAGAAGCACAGGAGTTTCTGGTTTTTCCACATACAACACTTGTCTTCGAGTGTTTTTGTGTGTGTGTGCGTTGTTTTTACTTGTAAATAAATAATGAGTCTTGATTAAACATGGCTGAAATGCCTTAAAATAAAAAGCATTTCTTAACTGAATTGGTATTTAAGTGAAAGACCTCTAGAAAGTTCTTCAGTACTTGTAATGCTGACAAAAGCCTTTTCTTAAAGAGCAAAACCAGCAGTTAGGCATTATTTCAGAGCAGTGTGGAGCCTCAGCTGCTATCTGTTGGATTAAACACAAAACCAAGCCCCAAAGAAAGGCAGGAAGGGAGGCACTACACCTCACACCTCAGCCATTTCCTACCAGACAATTAAAATCCAATTCTTCTAATTTTCCCTGAATTGCAACTCGCGGAGCCATTATGTCTTATGTTAAAGTGCGGTACACTGTTTGAGGTTATGGTTTCCCTCACACCACAGTATGCTAATTCTGAAAACTATTTATTTTCCAGTTTTTCATGGGTGGGTGGGTGGGTGGGGAGAAAAAGTACATTTTTTCTAAACGTAAAGGTAGCCGGCTGTTCACCCCCCCGCCTTTCGCAAACACCTTCACACCTGCTCTCCTGTCGGCTCCGCCGGGCACTCACTTCACCCTTCCCCTCTTCCAAGCTCTGTCTCACCTCTCGTGCCCCAGCCTAACTGGTTTGGATTTTCAGCAGCACACGGAAAACAAACGCGCTGCATGAAAGCAGGTAGTGCTGCAGCAGCGCGAGCGCTCAAAGCACCACCACCCAAATGAAAGCGCTTCAGCCAGGCGGCGGACGGCTTCAGGAGGGCCACCCAAACACCATGACTCGAGCCGATGCCCACCCGGTTCCCGGTCCGGGCAGCTCCCACGGGCGGCAGCGGGATGGGCCGGGCCCGGGCGGCGGCCCCGAGCACACGGCGCGGCCGCATTGTTCGAGCTCCGCTGGGTTGAGGTGCCGCGGGACCTCTAGCGGCAGCACCGCGCTTCTCGAAATAAAGAGGTGTAATCACACACACACACATACAAACAAACAAACAACAAATCACAGGAATAATGCGTTTTAAAAGACACAGTTTGATTTCCGAGGGCTCTTCTCAGATAAGAATAGCCACAAGATTTAATACATCCACTTATTTGGGAAAGGGGAATCAGAAGCAACCTCCCTGCTGCACCTGTTTGTACAAAAGGTTTAAACAACCGGATAACACCACGCTGCTGTATGTTTACACACACACACATAGAAATGCAACGTTACTCAGTGCAACCAGACTGGGTTGCAATGCCCTGCTAGGCCCCGTGCTCTGCTCTTTCAGGCACCCATGGAGAAACGGAGGCAGAAGGGCTGCAGGCCTGAGGAACAGCTTGGCATTTTTCCTCAATGACATCTTTGCAACTTAGAGAACGATCAGAAGCACATTTCATGGCCATGCCTCTAATAAGCTGGATGCCGTTCTAGCATTGTACACAGTCCTCATCCTCCACAGATATCATCTAAAAACTTAAGATTCATTACTACTGGTTTAAAGCTCCCTCACCCCTCCACCCCTCCCTCAATAAATAAATTAAAAAAATAAAATAAAATAAAATAAATTCCAAACACTGACTCAATTACTCTTGGGTGTGGCCACAATAAGTAGCAACTGACAGCAACAGGTTTCCCTGAAAATTCTAGAGACAGGCTGAGCCTCCTCACTTGATTACTTGCTCTGCACACTGATCCTCCAAATCCAGCCCTGAAGCACACAGGGAATGCTCTGTGGACAGAAGCTTTTAGTTTCCTGCCCACTGCCAGCAGAATCTTGCACTGGTTTTATTCCTGGCAGTGAAACTTTTGGCTGACTGACCTTAGCTCACTTCTATGACACATTCTGTGCACAATTATGCATTCTTTTCTTTGGTGCTACAGCAAAGTGAGAAACCAGTTATTGACTTTTTTGAAGGCTGCAATCACAAGTGCAGTGCTGTTCTAATCTCAGTTTTACGGTCTGAACATAAAAGACTGAAACTGTTATGACCCCATCAGACCCTTAGAAAAGTATCCCAAGAAGAAACATCAGGAAGCAGCGGTAGGTGAAATTCACAAGGCACCTAATGCTGACTTTAGGCAGTCTCCAATCTCAGTAATTTCTCTGTGTGCGCAGTAGCAACGCAGGCATGGAGAGGAAGCTTAGGTCAGAATTTTCAGAACATTCCAGGAGCAATCAGCAATGCCAGATGTATTTGCCTTCTGTATAATTTTAAGTTGGGGTACGTCTGCACTGTTACAAAGCTACAGCCAGAAGCTGCAAACCCAGCTGCAAAACCTCTCTCAAAAACAACAACCCTTTAATTTGGCAAGCCTGGGATTTTCACACAAGAAGTAAAAATGTCATTCGTGGCCAAACTTGGTACGCTTATATTTCAACACATAGTTGCTTTTAAAATTACAGCATCATGCTCGTGACTGAAACACAATTACCAAGCACTGCGATATCTTTTCCCCTTACTTACCCCTCCCGCTTCCCACTTTCCCCTCAGTAATAAGCATTTTACTCTACAAAGATTTTCAAACAGTCTGTGTCAATGATAGTACGTGAAATAAAAGTGCAACATCTTACAGAAGAATAAAGTTCCTATAATTTTAAATGCTCAAAGCTGCTTTTTTTGCTTTTTTTTTTTTTTTTTTTTTGTTTTTTTTTTTTTTTTTTTTTTTTTTTTTTGAGAGAGAGAGAGAGAGAGAGAGATGTAGGGAGCCAGAAAAAAATAAATCAATCAGAGTACTCTACCCTCCCCTTGTTTTTACCAGTTAATCTTTGACTTGGCTCCTGGACTAACAGAGCCACAGTAAGTGCACATTTCAAACTTCTCCTTTCTCCAAAGCACAGAGCTCTACACTCTTCACTTTTCAAAAAGTAAATGCTGGGAACTCCTCTCACAGCACACAGCCACGCTTACCCACTAAGTTTGCCTGCCGTTTTCCCATTACCTTTTGCTGTGATCTGAAGACACCGAGCCTCCTTTCACATATGTGCAGCTGAAGAAAAACCACAGTGCTCCGAGATGTCTTCTGGCGGAGCCATCTCATCTGTACTCCTGTACTGCCTTACTGTGCTCCTCCCGCACCGCACAGCTGCTATCTCGACTAACCCACCTTCTTCTCAGATCACTCATAGTGAAAACATTCCTCACTTCCTGTCTCAAAAAACTTGCTCTGGGTATCATTCCACTGGGTGAAGAGCTGGGGGTGGAAGGAAATATTGCAACAAAATAAACCAGTGCCAGCCAGCTCTGCAGGCAGCCTTTCCACGCCACGCTGTGCTGCACGAGCACAAAATCGCCTTCTCTGGAATATTTTCAAGTCGTCCGTCTCTGTGCGCCCGTGTGTGTGTGCATTTAATTTCTTTTCCTGGAGGCGTTCCCCTCGCTCTACCCATGCGGAAGGATACACCGAAAGAATTAAAGCAAAGGCCCGTATGCTTGCAGCCCATTACCTCACAGAGTTGGAATGCCTGGCAGGGAGAATGTCAGCAATGAACAGCTGCTTCACTGGCTGCGGGCTGCTACAGAAATAGGGGCTACAACAAATAGCAGGCAATCCTTGCTTTTTTAATCATATGATCATTTATTTTAAGCTTTTCCAATTAAGGTAAATCTCTTACCAAGAAATAATTATCTGTTGGCCGTATTGTTTTTATTAGTATTATTTTTACACTGTTTGGAAGCACATTCAGGATTTAATTCATATGTGCCACACTAAGTAACCTATGCACATACATTCATGCCTGCAGCTGAAAGAAGTCCTTGCAAAGTTTCAGCTGTTGGTAATATAAACAGCAAGAAAATGCAGGCTTAAAGGCTGATCCTTCAGCTCTTCCTCTTACATCAAAACTCACAAAGGCTCCAATAGAAAGTATGTCTTTAATAACAACCATCTTATTGAGCATAAAAGTAATATTTCTAGTGTTTAATGAATTCAATCCTGACATAGGGGGTACTATCCCCTTCCCATAAATACTCAAAAATATACTCAAAAAATGTACAAAAAATAAACAATTGTTGTATGCTACATAGAATGTCAATCTCCACATTACATGAGCCAGGTAAAAGTATATACAAACTTGAAACAGGTGAGGGATGAGGAAGAAGATAAAGCCAACATGCTACTGTCTGGGCAAGTCTAACTTGCAGACCTGCTATGCAAACAGAATGCTACTGAGGACACTAATCGCAGCTGAAATGTGTAGGTAGTTTTGTACTATGATGAGTTCTTCTGAGTTATTTCTCTCAGACACAACAGGTTTCCTCCAATCAGGGGAATTACCCCTTGTTTTCTCCTACATATGAGCCATAGTTACAATGAGGAGTTCATAGGCCAAGAAAAGAATTCACTCAGAGGAGTCTTATATTGAATAAACTAAACAACTTTGAACTAAACTAAATGAATATCCTTTTCTAGTAGTACGTTAGAGGCCAGAACTATGGTTACTTGCCTGAGAAAACCAAACAGTGTAATGCATGACAAATCCAAACTGTGAAGATTCAGAGTAATGAAAGCAACACCTCCTATTTCTAAACAATTCATACTGGAAACAAAGTCTCAATACTCCTATCTGCTTCATTTCCTATTCTAAGTTTTGATCACACAATTTTCCTGCCTGATTCTTTGCCGTGAAGTTGTGTTATTAGAATTTTTAAATACAGATAGAACATCGCTCATAGGCTTCTCCACAGCTTACACTTTCTCCTTTGAAGCTCATCAAACCTTTATTCCTAAACTCCATGTTTTTCTTCTGCTTTATATAAACACTAGCTTGTATCCTAACTCTGTGTTTATCTGTACTTTCTCCATTTTACCCTTTATATCTCATATTTTCCCCCATCAGATCTCATTACCTGCTTTACCTATCATCTCTGACAAACAGGACAAAGTGACAATGGAGTCCATGAGACCACAACGATCTCTGATACAGCCACATTAATAAGACATAGCCCAATTGCCTCAGAGCACTACACTGTGCTACTGCTGCTCCCTTTCAACTCCCAATCCATATTTTCATGGCATGCATAGTGAGAAATACCCACATCCCTTTCAGAAATGCCCACTTCCCTGTCAGAAAAGTGGTATGTATACATATGCTTTCCTCAGCCTGATGGAGAGTTACCCACTTGTGATAAAATACATCATAGTCCCCTAACTAACAGTTAAAGGGCTATTCCCAGGATGCTGAGACAATGAAGAATTCATGTAGAAAAAAATTCTTAGTTTACTCACTAGGCATGCAAAATAGTGACTCAATGAACTGAAAAGACAGAGTACTTCTGATTCTATGTGTGATTGTTAAAGCTATTCCCTAAACAAATTCACTTTATTACTCCCTGTGGCCAAGACATCACTGTTTTGTCACTTTTCCTTTCCTCATCTGTGAAAAACCAGGAGATAACTGGGTATCCATACATCGTGACATGCTTCTCAAAGGTAAAAAGAAATGAGTAGAATGGAAGCTGCTAGAAAAATAAGCACACACTACATCTATTACATGCTTGATACCTGAAATTACACAGTTACAAGATTTATTTTGACTTACAAGGCAGTGTAAAATGTTAAACTATGTTCTAGTAAATAAGTAATTGATTGTATAGGGTTTTACTGTATTAAACTGGCCACTTTTCCAAGACAGGCAGTACTGAACTACAAGCAGGGAGCTCCTGCCATAACTCATAAAAGATACTTTTTTGGAACAAACTATTTTTATGAAAAGTAAATTAATTAGTTGAGGACATAAATTTAATTCCTATTAGTGTCCTTCAGTATATTTTTTGTTCCAGCAATGAAATAATGTAACTTATTTGAAATCTAAATGGAGCTGTATATGTCTGTCAAAAGTAGAAAAAGGAACATTGCAATTAAACCAATCTGTTACTCACTGTATCTCACTGTAACACTAGCACACTTTAAAGTATGGTCAGGTGAACAGCTCAGACCATTAGCATTAATTAGCGTAGGCCACCTCTGTATTATGTTTGGTTTATATTAGGAGCTGTGATGCAGAAAGAGATTAAAACAGCTGTTGCCATTGGGTAAACTTCAAGCATTATTACTGTTAAAAGACACTTTATATGCTGATCTTTCTGTTCTTCACTGCCCACTGAACTGTCACTACTGAAGTGACGTGGGACGTTGGTGCAGGAGACAAATAGCACGACTTGTTTTCTGTTCGTCTGCCTTCTGTCTCCTCCGTGTAGTTCCTGCTCGCTCAGAAAGCGATCCCTCATAGCAGTAACACTGGCAGATGTCAGAAAGACGTACGTGTGTGTTTGTTAACTCGGGCTCAGACCCAGAGAGCAGCCGCGCGGGGTCCCAGCAGGCCACCCCCCGCAGGCTGCGGAGGCCGGAGCGCGCACTGGAGGACGAAGCACTGACGAGAAGCCCGGCGGAGGGAGGCCTCTCTCGGGCGTGAGGGCGCTGACCGGCGCGGGCCCCGAGCGGGACACAGCAGCGCCGAGCGAAGGGCGGTCGATCGAGCCCGCTTCCCTCCGCCCGCGTGACTACCGGCCCTGCTCCACCGCCGCTCCCGCCTCGACCCGCTCTCCTCTCCCTGCCGCCGCTCGCCTCTCCGCACTGACCCGGCGGCGGCCCGACCCGGGCGGCCCGACCCCGGCGAGGCGACGCGGAGGGCTTGGCGGGGCCCGGCAGGGGGCGCCGCAGGCGGAGGCCGCGCATTGCCCTGCTCTGCGCTGCACGGCCCGCGCGGGGACGGGAGCGGGCGGCCCGCGGCACGGAACGGCGCGGCCATGGAGATCGGCACGGAGATCAGCCGCAAGATCCGGGTGAGAGAGAAGCGGCCGGGTCGCTCCTCGCGTGCCCGCGGCCAGGGCTCGACCCCGATCCCCGCTCGCGGGCTTGGGCCCCGCCGACGGCCGAGGGTCCGGGCTACCTCCGGCCTCCTCCGAGGCCCGGCACCGCCGGGTTCTCTTCTCTCGGGGGAAGGACGCGGTGGGGCGAACCGGGAGCCGCGGTACGCCTTCGGCCACGGCGTTCCCCGGGGAGGGATGCCGGCAGGGAAGTTAGTGTTGCTTTGGGAAGGGGGCCTGGCCCCGCGGCCCGGTGGGCAGCTGCCGCCTCTGCTTCCCTCGGAGCTGCAGGACGAGGCCTGGGGCACCGCGGGACGCGGGCCTGGAGCCAGGCGCTGCCCGGAGCGGAGCGGGCGGATTGGTGCCAGCCCGTGTCCCCAGCGGGAGAAGGTTGTCAGTTGCTTCCGCTCCGTAATGGCGTTGGAAGTCCCGGCAGGAATGAATGACCTTCTTAAACCATCCGGGACTTTTGTCTCTGCGCCTTGGGAGCAGAAGGTCTGTGCTTAAGAAGGGGCTGGGACCTGGGGGTTCTGGAAGTGTGGTTATCGCTATTGTGCTGGCAATCGTTCTGTAACAGCACTTAGGTGTGAAGAACAGGAAAAGCAATGTCTGTTAAACCAAAATGTTCCGATATTTAAGGAGGAAAGCATCACTAAATGAGGCTCGCACTATTTTGCATTTTAAATCGCATTGTTCTGTCCCTTGAATGTTGTTTCATTATTTTCTAGGGTGCTATAAAAGGAAAGTTGCAGGAGCTGGGGGCTTACGTTGGTAAGTTTTACCACTTGTTTAGCGATCAACTCTGTTTGTTGGTCAGTAGGAAACAAGCAGGTGGATAATGCCATTCTCTGGAACAATGTATTTACTTATTGTTAACTGTGTTGCCGCATGCAGAAACGTCAAGCATGAGTTGAGTTACCTCCAGGCTGAGTTACTGCTGGACTAAAATGAAAAATAAAAAGGCTTGCTTCAAAAAGTGGGTAGCCTTAGTGTAAGGGGGAGCAGTATGTAGACATGAATGAATGGAATAACAACAGTCTTCCCTTTCAGGGAGATACTGTGGCAAAGCATTTGAAAAAGAAACAAACAAACAATGACGTGTCTTTTTAAATATTTAAAGAAGGTTATTTGAAGCACAAGAAGAAAGGTCATATGAAGCAAAGGCCTTCCATATAACATCAGTTACCTGTGACCACCCTGAGACAAAGTCAGTCTTTCTTAGGGATCTTTTTGACAGCATTTTGAATTTCAGACATTTGTCAAAACAAAGGATATTACTGTGAGGCAGGGTGAGGTTGAAAGGCCATGGTATGAAAGGCCATGTCAGAAAAACATTTTGCACATGCTACATAGTTTTCCATTTGTGCAACATAGTTTTCTTCTTATCAATGGAGATCTTATTAAGAGCTTCATTAAAATAATGTTGATGAAATACATGAAACAAGGATATGTTGGATGTGTGGAGACAGGTGTGGGTAAAATCTGCCTGCCAGAGGCCTTATAGAAAAACGTGGGGTTTACGATTTGTTATACTTTAAAACAACAT